TCAAGTTGTAGGGTTTTTATAGCAAGAATCTCTTAGAATAAACAAGACTTGTAATAAACATTAAACAATAAACATTTCTGGGGGACCCTTTCTACTGAGGCTGCCATGTTGAACCGCCATGTTTGTACAGTAGCCCAGAACATACAAACCAAACAGTCTCTAGATAGGGTCTTGCTTGTTTTTCACAACCGTATTGGCCATAAAATGTACAATATGGGTCGATAAATTATCATATAACTTTTATGTTAACCTTGCAAAATAACAAAATCACACAAGAATCCATCTTGCCAGTAGGACTTTAATTTTAAATTTTTTTTTTTTTTTTAAATCGAAACCGATCAAAATTACATCTCAATCTCGAACTTCGAACTCAAAGGTAGAATCAACGATGCAGCCACACCCCCAATGTCACATCCAGCATGTATGCCAAGACGCAAAAACACACACACTCGCTGAACTGCGGTGTCAACGCTCCTCTAATTTTAGGCTGCAGCCAGTTAAAAAATACACATCAACCGACCGAAATCGAAGCCCCTCTTGCTACTCTGAAATCACCAGTGTGGAAGTATTTTGCCGTTCATTCACGTCAATTAACACTAACTTAGCTTACTCAACAAAGATGATCTAGTTACAGTCCAAAATTACTTTAGGGCTTAAAATGCACATTGATAAGTACATATTCCATGAACACTAACCTTGGGTCTCTTCAGAGTGTGCTGAAACAATCAAATCATCATTCTGTGTTGTTTAATTTCATTATGTTCACGTCTCTGTTTAATGATTGTGCTGTTTACAACCTTGCGATTGGAACGGTCTCAAAATAAAAAGCGGTTTCAAAATAAAAGCCCCCCGAAACAGAATAGGAAAAGGCCAAAAAAAGTAAATAACATATAAGGAACGCATTAATAGTAATATTAAAAAAAGATCGAAAATCGAATTGAATCGTGACTTTAAAATCGAAAATTAAATCTAATCGAGGATTTGGAGAATCGTGACACCCCTACTTGCCAGGCATCAATTTATGTGTTTGTGGCCAAACTACAGTGGTAATACTAAAGTAATTTTTGACCTAAACTCCATTTCACAAACTCTTCAGTTTTAACTTCTTTAATATTATAATAATTAATATCATCAAAAGCTACGAGTTAAGAGAAGATTAATAGGAGCTGTGAGCACACAAAGAACTACCAATGATTTGCAGTTACCATCATTGTGTCACAAAAGCCTACTGTCTAATATAGGCTCATTTAGGCAGCAGATTAGGAGATTACAATTCTTCCAGAAAGTAATTGGAAGACAGTAGATCAGACAAACAACAATCAGTGTGTCACGTTGAGCAGGGAGGGATCCTTACCAATTTCTCATCAACTGTAATAAGTTGCGTGTCTTGTCCTGGTTTCTCTGCCAGCCTCAATGTTGATGTGCTTGTAGACCTGCAAACCATTAGGTAGACATTACACGTGACACAAACCCACCAAAGGCAGACAAGCAACAAAGACGCAACTTATACAAACAAGTTACACTCCGCAAACACCGACTATCTTGGAGAAAACGGTGGGGCGAGGAGTGAAAAGGAAGCGACAAGGAGGGAATCCCCCCCGCCACCTATTAGTTCTGTCTGGTGAATTTCTGGCAGACTCTCGCTCTCATCCTAATGACAGGACGTGCTTAATGTTGGCTGTGGTCAACTGTCAGGCGAGGACTGTGTAGCTCTTTGTGAATGTGCAGCCGTGTCCTGTCACAAAACAGCAATGTACCATCATGGCTGAGCCAGGGAAGGGCTATTCCAGATAATCATATTACAGATTATGCTCAGTTAATCATAATTTTATATTTATTCCAATTGCATGATTTTTACACTTTACACTGCCCGTCATACTTCAATTAAAAGATAAGGTAATTAATGAATTGCTTAAATGAAGCCCTGTAGACGACACTCACTTACAGAAACATTTATAATAGATGCAACTGCTTCATGAACAGAATAGATTCTACTTCTGATAAGTCAACTAACTGATTATTAATTTAAGTTGTTTACCAAGTAGGAATGTGTTAAGTTTCAGCTTCATAAATGAGAGTGGTTGTCTACTTTTTTATTTCATGGTGTTATAAATTAAATGCTTGGAGCTTTTGACTGCTTATCAGATGAAGTACATCATTTTACAAGGTCACTTATAATATTTGGCAACTCAAAACTACTACTCAAAAGGTCAAAGAAGAATTTGTTCAATTATTGATCTGTCTTTTGCCTTATTCCATTATTTTGTTTCAAAAGCCAAAAAACTGTCTTAGCAACTAAAGCCATCCATTTTTTATCATCAGTAACTAGCTTAGGCTATAAAATTAAACACTGAATCATTTCATTTTCACTTGGACCACGCCATGTTTATTTTGGTTAAGCAATGCAATCAGCCCTGTCATCTATTATTTAATGACCTCATCTTGTGCACGGTGAGGCCAATTTCTACTTATAAAAGCAGAGACGGCCATTGTTTGCTTTGTGTAAAGAGAATGTCTTAAACTGTGTCATTTTATGAGGAAAAATAAAACCTAAAAGTAAATAAAAAAATGTATAACATGCCTTTCTTCAACATGCACTGGATCACTTCGTAAAATGAGTTTGAAAAAATGCCCTGATTTCATTTCAACCATGTGAGGAACCTCTGTACATGAAGAATTTGGGCTTGAAGTGTTAAATAACTGTTATTTTTATTCTGTAATAAAATGTAAAGGGATCATTCAATAGTGGCAGTCAACTGATTAGTAATATTCTTGAATAATGTTATTGTTGTTTTTCCCCCAATAAACAATACAAACTTATCTGATTATGTGGACAGCAAATAAAATAATTAACAAATATCAATAATAGTATCTACTACCATATCATTATACCAAATGTTACAGTGTATCTGACCACTGTATGCCAACCCCAGATAATGCACTCTTATTCTGTACCTTTATATACATTTAAAAGCAAAGATACTGCTGATTTGTGGGTGGTCTTCCTAACTATTAATTAAATAATGTCTATTTCACGGTACATTTGCCTGTAATGTTTGTGAGATTAGACAAGATTAGATAAGATTATTGATCACTGTGGAAACACGTTTAGGAGCAGCACAGAGAACAAGTCAGAAAAGAAGCAGATCAGAGACCAGTACACTTGTGCAAAAGACACAAAATAAGATTACTAAGATCAGGTGCAACTCAACAGCTGCAGCATTATTATTTGAGCAGTAGTTCACAAAATGCAATGGATTTAATAAATAAGAATAACCTAGCAATAAATGCATATTGTGTACACATTATAAGAAGATAATAGACTGTGTCCAGTTAAGTAATATCTAATACAAACCTCATAATGCAGAGGCTTGTCTGATAACGCAAGAAAGGCACAGTGTCTAAACTTTATGAGGGTAGACTGCAATGTGCTACTCTGACGCTAACTGTTAGCTTCCTTCCCCTGCATTTGACTGCAAGGTTAGCTGTGGGTGAGCTCTGTTATTAAATAAAAGTTCCCGTCTCGCCGAATATTAGTAATAATATGCAGCACATGTTTAATTGCGTTAGCTCTTAAACTGATTTCTAGCTAGACTTGCTAGACCTAGAATTAGCTGATTAGCTGACTAGCCGAGTGCTGTTAAGGAAGGACACAGGATAACATTGAGATTAGCTACTAGCCCGGTCGCTATAAAGACTAAATGTGCGAGCAAGAACGTAGTTAAGTGTGTAAACTCATACATTATGTCCAGTCAAAAGCGAAAACAATTAGAAAATGCTTTATTTAAGTGCTTTATGCTTCCAGGCTGGCTAGCTCACACTCAGTCAGTCAGTAGGCGTACGGCCTCTCCTTACTTCGTCTTCAGTTGACTTGGAGTTAAAATATTTCACATAAAATGACTCAACAAATACATCAAAGGCACCGCGGAAGAACATACAGCTCATAAACAATTAATACGGAATTACCTGATAGGATTCAGGACCAATTTAGAAGCTGAATTGATGACAGACAAACGTCCCAAGCCGAGAAGTGACATTGAGGACGCCATGATTGTTGTCAACAATGACGTACGGCGGCCGCGAAGGAACAAACAGTACGAGCGGGTGACGGAGACAGCTGGCAAAGAGATGGAGGGACTTAATGCCAGCAACTAAAATTACTGTGCAGGGATGTGTTACATACTGAGAGACATGTCCGGACACATCTAGTGTCTATTTACGCCGCTGATGTTTGTTTCATATCACAAATAACGACGATGATGGTGTTAATGGAGAGAAACTCAGCGCATCCACAGGAACTCGCCTTTGGCAGAAGAACTGCTCCATACTCCTAGAAGCTTATATTTCCCTTCTTGTTTTTCGCTTTCTTCCGTTTTGATAAGATTATCAATATCAGGTGTACTATGTAAGCCTGGCTATCAAATTCACTTAACTAGGGTTTAAATATGACTCAGAGGTTTATTAAACTTCATTTTTGACCTTAACTTGATGCTTTCCCATATTGTTATATGCCTGTTTAAATGGTTTTGAATAGTTTAATTAAGGGTTCACAGTATCACTATTATAGAGTGACTGAAACACTATTATTTACTAACTAAACATAATACAGTATTCATTCAGTGTTTCATTTGAACATACACAATTAGAAAAGGGCGTCATGGATAAAGTCCATTTATCAGGGCATACGTAATATTGATATGTATCATAATATATAGTTAAAGTTTCTGATATATCAGTTCACAAACTGCAAATGGATAGCTGAGAGAAATGTTTGCTTTTGGCTCATCCAAATGGTGCAGAAGTCATATAAAAATCCCCTGTCCACATTAGCCTAACACCCCCAGCCTAGAAGGTAGGCTATATATCATCGCATTGCCTGATCCTATACTGTGTATATGTCTGAAGATTTGACTTAGGTCCACTTCTCCATTGAATTAAACACTGAGATTTGATACGTTTAACTACACGTTAATCACAAATCACAGCAGAGTCAGAAAAAGTATAAGGAAAAAAACTTTTATTGTTTCACTCTTCATATCTGTACAAATACCATCAAACTTTGTATGTACATATGACATTTACATAAAAAATACAAAACTATATATTCATAACAGAATTTTGTATTTCTCTTGTGATGTTTGAAAATAAAAATGCATTCTGAGAAGAAAAAACAAAAAAAAAGAAACAAAGTGATGAAGACTGATATAGTGTCGAGTACGGCAGTACGTTAGTCCTATTGTAGCTCTGCGAGAGCAATATGGAGCACATTGGCAAGAAGACAGCACACAAATGTTAATGGCACATTGTTTCCAAAATAATCAAGTATCGTCCAAAACTTACTTCTGCTCTAATGTGGTGAGACAAAAAATAAACACTATTGAATAATTTCTAATGTTGTCGTCTCCATGTGGAATCAAATCTAAAGGGCTAAAACTGAAGAGGAACCAAAAAAAAAACAAGAAAAGAAAAACAAATGGCTCTTTTTTTTCTCTTCCATTTCATCACTGCTGTGTTGCAACTTTTACAATGCTCTTTTGCAAAACCATTGAGAGAATCCCTTTGGTCAGTTATTATGAGTTGTAAACAAACCAGAAACACTTCTGTACATAAAATGATTGATATATTCCCAATAAATAAACACACAGCCTAAACATGCATTTACGTATATGTGACATAAACATCTGTGATAGAGATTTGACAGAAACAAGCAGATTTTTACAGCTCAGGGAATGCAATTTACAGCTTGTAGAGGACTTATACTTACACGGTAATATGACAAATAAATAACACTGCTTCTCTTTGGACAAATATATTTCTTCATGATAAAAAAAAAGAAAGTAAAAGAGACAACAACAAAAAGGGGGGAAATGAGTGGTAACACAATATATCATGGTAGATAGTAAGCCTGACATTGTAAATGTATAAATTATAAAACACAAAAAAAGTATAAATAAACATCTAACAGACTGAACTATATGTATACTTCCTTTTTCTTTAAAAAATAAATAAGCATACACATAATGTACAGTATGGACATGATTCCTTGCCCTAGGACTGTTCCCCTAGTGATGAGCGCCTATCCATCCAGTATAGAAGATATATGGACATAGGCCATGTAGTCTGAGTCCTCATCTTCCTCATCCTCCTCCTGGTCTTCTGTAATGGCTATGTGGGAGAATATACGGTAGCTGTTGTATGAATATGGACCACAACAGCGCAGAATATCACTCAATGTTTTAAAAAAAAAATTGCTCACAGCAAAGCCACTGGCACACAGCCTCCCTATTGTGTGTGTGTCTGTGTGTATGTTTGTGTGTGTGTCTGTGTGTATGTTTGCGTGTATGCATCTGTGTGTGTGTGTTGGTGTGTGTGTGTGTGTGTGTGTGTGTGTGTGAGGAAGCGTCTGTGTGACTTGGCATCAACAATTACTGTGGCGTCCCCAATTATGCAACTGGCATTTACATAATCTAGCAAGTCAGGACTGCAACAAGTGGAAAAAAGTGGGATGATGGAAAAGAGGGATGGTTGGGAGGTTGGGAGGGGGGCCACAAGGTGGGATAGAGGGGGGTGAGGCTGGGTGGAGGGAATAGGGGCACTGATGGTTCCAGTGGCTCGGGTCTCTTTTGGGCAGATTCCTGAAAGCAGACACACATAACACAGAAAAGTGCTCTTGTGTTCTCGGATTTTCTTTGCTCTGATTGTTATTTTAGTTTCTGGCTCAAACGTACAGGGAGGGAGGACTCTGTGTCACAGCCTGGCCTTAGCAAGCAGGTCAGAGATCTTCAACACAGTTCTGAGGTATTTTCTTTTTTACAGAAGAGATTTACATCGGACACGTAAAAAAAAAAAAAAAAAATGTAAAAAAAAAAAAAAAGCACACAAGCGAGAGCAAGAGTGACAATACAAAAAGAAAAAAAAACAGGCAGTCCCTCATCAATCCAAATGGATTTGTAATTACTGATACATATTCTGGTAGACAACACGTTCACTGGAAACAGGACGAACAATAAAAGTTAGCTAATAAATGTATAAACTTTTTCCTAATGATGAGATGAGGAGTGAGAGAGCGGGGTTCTACAAGCTTCTTGTATGCTTATCCTGCATACTGTGAAGTAACACATTTATATTTAGCTCATGAGGTGATCATAAAGTTGGTCCCTTTGATTCCATTGCATACCTTAGGCACATCACATTAAGGTACTCAGTCAGGAGAAAGAAACTAACAGGGGGACACTCTTCTTGGAATGTAAATTTGATACTTCCTTGAGGCTATTGTTCAATTTGACGGTTTACGCACAGATTTGTGAGCAAGATGAATGGCTCTACAGGTAAGTAGTCTACATGGATATCAGCGTTAAAAATCCATCCTCCTTAACACTAACATGGCACCAATGTTACAATCACCTTATGCACATCATATGAGTAAAAGTATTCTGTTCTTATTGACATGTTGGCAGTATGGTGTATGTCACAAGAGGCAGTGCATTTTGAATTGATTGATTACAGCCAAAAGTAACAAAAAAGAAAAAATAATACAAAAACACAAATATATCGTTAACTTGAAATTAGCCATGTGACCATGAAATTTACAAGCTGTAAAGATATGACCACTGTCATAAAAATAAAACATTACTGATTTAAAAAACAAAACTGCATGAGATTTAAGGCAACCTGCTCCTGCAGGTCACTAGCATGACCATAAACTTAGCAAGACTTTTAAATATCAGGATTGTTCCACTGCAAACAAAATTAGTCTCCTTAATCGTCTGGTTTAGTTTAATGGAGTTAGCTTTCCCAGACTCTTAGATAGAGTCTGCTGATATATATTGATGCTTTTTCATTCACTTTTCTGTTATTTTGTTTTGCAGAAGAATTGAAAAAAGTCAAATAAAAAAACAAAAAACAACAAGAACACAAGAACAAAAGCCAGCGACAAAGACAACGTCATGCAAGTTCTTCTATTCCCAAGTCCTTTCTGCTTGCTTAAGCTGTGCTTGGTGGTGTGGCTGGGGTGGGAGTTTGGGGAAAGTTGGGATGGGGGGCACGTTCAGGGGAGGTTTTTGTTGGGGAAGCAACATGGAATAGTGTCTTTTGCTTGGAGAGGGAGGAGGGTGTTTTGTTTCAATTTTTTTTCATATTTTGCTTTTGTTGTTTACTTACAGTTGCAAGATCCCGAGTGCTTGACTTCCAGCAGCACCCCCAAAGAACAAGCAGCTTGCTTCATGGCACATTCACTGGGATATGTGGTGTTGTCACTGGCACACACCGCCTCATCTGTCCTGCTCTCCGGACAGGTCTCATCACACAGTGAGCAGCGGCCCCGGCTCATCCGAGCATCCCACAGACACTTCTTCCCCACGCTGCACTGGATGTCCTCACACGACTTGGCCTCTAGAAGGAGAAGGAAAGAAATCAGCACAGGGGAAATATTTGATTAGATGGATTATCATGAATGCTTTTCAAGCAGGATCAGATGGCTGCTGAGCTTTTGGAGAACTAAGCTAGGAATATGAATCCCGTATTATGTTGTAAGGTCTTGTGGCAGGGAATAAAAAGTCATGTTTTAATTAGCATTTTTAAAGCTACATGACTTGGATTGACTGCTTTCTGGATACAAATCCATCTGACTCAAATATTAACTTGAGGCATGTCTTCATGGCCCCCAGCACTCCCCTGTTTCGTTCTCTTTCTCCCTCCCCCCTCTCCTTCCCCCTTTTCCCATATGGGATAGTGCTGCCAACATCAGGAAATAATAAGATGTCTATCATTTCTTGAGCAAACACAAGCAACTACCAAACACACTCTCTCTCTCTAAGACCCCCTCCTTAGTGGAATGTTGGCAAAAATGAACAGTGAATAACTGCAGAGCTGGCCAGGAAGAAAATGCACTCAAACAATATTCGGAGTCAGTGGCTGCAGGCGCTTGCAGAGAGTAAAGTCTCACACTCTCACGTTTCTAGCAGCAGACTTACTGATGCATTTTCCCTCATATGCCACTCCAATAGATCTGCCGAGGAGACATGTGGCTCTTCTCAGGTGACATGCGCTGGCATAGACGATCCCGTCGTTTCCACACAGGTACTGCTCAGGCGACGTCACCTCGGGGCAAATCCGATTACACGTCACACAATATGCGTTATTTGTCTGGTCCACAACGCATGTCGAGCTGCCAGGGCACAAGACGTCACGGCACGTTTCTGTCCAGACAAAGACATCGAAGGATTTTTGTGAAATCGAGAAAAACTCAGAACAAACAGCTGGATTCTTGGCACACACAGCTTTTGAGAAATTTGGAATCTCACAAAGATTTAGAAAAATATTGACTTACTCTTGCACTTTCCCTGGTACTGCACGTCCAGGTCGGGGTGGCCTTTGCATTTAGCCTTCAGCAGTGCGCATTCGTCTTTGTAGGTCTTTCCATCTGAGCCACAGACCGGTCCCTTCCAGGTGATGTTGGAGCAGTCTGGTGCGCACACGCAGCGCGGCTTACTCCTTCTGTTCATCTTGCACCTCTTCCCGGGCCCGCAGTCAACATTATCGCAGGTTTCTAAAATAAAAGATCTGTGTTATGTGATGCTGGTGGGGATTTTGGCCCTGTGCGTAAAATTACTCTAGCGCATAAAGTACTCACTAAAGGAATAATTTACGTACGCTGTTATGCGTAAACCAGGTCATCGCTAGGATTTATTAAACGAAATGACTGAGGATGTGTATTTTGAGAAAACGAAGGGAAATGAGTGCACCTCCACCTTTGCAAGGTATGCAATTCGGGGCTCCGCCATTGAAGATCATCCACCTAAAGAGCGTGCTGTTGGGGACGTCCTCCTCGGTCCAGGACGTCCCCAGTCTTCCGCTCCGACAGCACTCCTCCCTGCTCATCCCGGGCATGTAGAGCACCTGGCACCTCCCGTTCTTCCCCTGCTGCAACCAGCAGTTCCCAGCTGTAAACAGACAAACAAAAAAAGCTCTAATGTCGCATGTTGAACGTCTGAAACCGCTGACCCAGACGCACTAGACACACGCAGCCCGTATTATCCGAGACGCTCCCTCCCTCCCTTTCGCCCTCCCGGCAGTATTTTGTCTGAATTTTTTTTTTTTTGCGAGACTGTTAACACTTGCCTATCCCTTCTGTGACTGACAGCCCTTACAATGCAGCCACAAACCAAAGAAGTAGGAAGAATCTTTGGAGGGGGGAGTTATTCTTTATTCCTAGAGCCCCCTTGTTATCACTGGACAGAAAGTGGAGCGTCTAGACAGTGTTAATAGCAGCCAATCTCCTTCAGAAAACCACGGTCTTTAGCTAAACACACCACCGTCTCCTACGCTTCAGAACAATATCCCAGACATGTAGCCTCCAGACAATGTCTTGCTTATTAACAAACCAGTGTAAAGTTTATTTTCAACATAAAAAAACTGTACAATTGTCCTGATGTCTATGGCACAAAAATACCCCTTGATCCAAACAACAGCAGGATGTCTAAACCGACACAGACACACATGACATTAAGTGTTCAAGAACTGCAGTGCTTCTTAAATTGAAGACAGATTTCTATTTGAACTATAAGCTCCCACACACAAAATGGTAGATGCAAAAAGTCTCCAGGTTTTTTTTTTTTTTAAATCATAAACAAAGACATTTTGAACACAATGCGGGAAATATATGAAAAACACGCCCTTAAACTCACAGTTGATATTCTGAAGTTTCTTACAGCAACATCGTGAGACGCTAAACGCTCATGCAAAAGTATCAGAATGTGCTCAGGTATTATGGAAAGCTGCGGCTGCCACCAGCACGGCGTGGCGGCTCTAAGTGTGCGCGTCTGGCGAGGGCTGCAAAACTTGACATATAGTCTCACTTTGAAGTGTCCCATATGGCACCTGTTTTATGGACGCTTTACGCATGCACTGTCCGATGCAGAGAGAGTTTTATCAGCGGGGGAAAAAAGGGAAACTCACTTTGAAAAGTTTCTCGGTTGCAGCAAGTATTCGACACTCGGGCGCGTTTTGTTGGCTGACAGCAGTCGAAGTTTTTCAAAAACGGAAAGAATAGAAGAAAACTGATGAAGAGAGTCTTACCTTGAACTTTTTGATGTTCCATGAGGTGACAAAGCCATAGGAACAAGAGAAACATGCCCGGGTGAAGGTGGTGTTTCAGCATCCTAAACATGATGGAGAGGCAAAGTGAACTACGTATTTGACACAGGCAGCGCAAAAGTAATCTGCTTACGGTGGCAGTGTTGAATAAGTGTCAGTCTGAGAATGCAGCCTCTCTTTTTAAATCTATAAGGGGTCTCGGGTTGACTGTCTCTGGTGGGCGGTCTCCTCTTCTGTGGGGGTGGGGAGATTTTTTTTCTTACCAAACTTCTTTCAATCCCAGTCAGGTGACATCGTTACAAGCAACTTTCTCTTGCCACAATAATCAAAGGACATTAAAAATGTGTCTGAATGTGTGATTAAACACCAGACTTAAGGTCTGAGCTGCTTTGCAATCCCAGAAAAGCAAACACAGCAGATGATACATAACGTGGCCGCTGATATCAGTTAGGTTTTGATGGAGAATACTGATATTAATGTTTAATTGGAATCGTTTTAGTTTTCTCGTCGCATTATATCAGTGTGAGGTGGACAGCTGGCATGGCTTGGGTATGTGTCTTTAAAAATAAATAATAATAATAAACATAATAATAATAATAATAATAATAATAATAATAATAATAATGAAGGTCATTGTAACTTATATATCAAGGCCTTTATTACTTTATTATCAAACAGGCCCACAGCCAACATACCCATCCGGACATACCATCAGTCCTTCAAATTATGGGTACTACTTGGTGGTAACTGATATTTTTTCCACCAACTGCAGACAAAAGTGTAAATCTTTTGATGAGAGTTGCCTTTTGGAATATATCCGAGCCCAGACAATAATAGAATTCATAGTAGTCCGCAGCCGCACTGCTAATATTAGAACAGACAGTTGTTTGGGTTTCTCTCCCGGGTCAAGCTTTTAAATATAATCAAACCTGTTTCCGAAAGGGCTTCAGACAGAGGAGCGGGGTGTTGCATTTCATTGAATGAAACACACACACGCACGGCTCTCCGCTCACTGACGCACAGGCTGAACTCCCTCAGAAGTCCTTGCGCGACCTCTTCAGCGGAACTCTGGTTACAGCTCTCCGGAGCAAAGTGTCTGCGGTGTGAATCAGACACCAGGGAGTTAATTATCTGTCGGCCAGGAAGAAGACACTGTAATCTCTTCTGTAATTCCAGTGAGATACCACTTAGGTATCGTTTATCTGCAAAATATGAGAATACATACAATCAAAATAACAATATTCCCATAATCCAGAGCTGTCAGTGTGGTTGAAACAGCATGCATGTTTGCCTCATATACATTTATGTCATATGGCAGCTAATATGATCATAAAATACTTCCAGCCTCATCTTTTCTTTCAGGTTTGTGTTGTATCCATCTTAAGTTTATTATTCCTGTTAGTGCATTTTCATTACAAACAGTGCTGGGCAATAACTTTGTTTTTACTATTGGTTTTATTACAAAACATCATTAACACAAACATCTGAGGATTAGAAGCCATAACAGATACACAGGAAACAAATTAGGTCTTTTTGACAAAACATTTCAGTTTCTACAAAAACATGCACAGAATACAGCCAAATACAAGTTATAATCATATCCCAAGTTTGTTCTTGCAGTATTATTTATGGCGTGTCCCTTCTTTGTGATCCAGTGAAGGAGTTCATGCTGATCCAACAGCTGTACTCGAGAAGAAGAAACAGAAAGGGACACATCCTCAACTAACAGGACCAGCTAGCAGATCATGCTTCACCTGCTTTAGATTATCAGCTGGAAGACACAAAGATGCAATTCATTTTTTTAAATGGTCCCACACCCAGAATATGAAACTATTAACACATATTCTGTCCATGTGACCATTATTTCAAGTACTAGTAGTATGTCTATACAATATCTTATACATTGACATCTTGCCCTCCTTGCTCTCCAGTTTCTTGGTGATAACATGCTTCAAAAGCATCTGTGGAGTGATTATTCTACTGCAGTAAAGGCAGATCAAATCAAAATCACTTCTAGCTTGTGATAATTTTTATATGTAGCATCATGAAATTTCAGAACTGTAACATTTTGGAGACTGAACATGTCACCCAGTTCTCATGTTAAGATGTCTGTAATCAGTAAAATTATTCGTCTGAGGGGCACATTCATACTAGACTCATACTTAAATGCCACACTTGAGGTCTAATTAATTACGCTTGTTGCAATGTTTCCCAGGCATTCCTTGTAGTGAATAAAGAGTCTGACTAATTTCCCGACAACTGAATTTCTTTAATTAATTACACATGGCAATTTAGACTATTTTGATATCAAACGAGCAAACTGGAAGTTGTATATAAACCTTAAAGAAGTAGTTTTTATGTCATTGGTTGTTTATAAATAATCAAAATAAAACGGTTGCCAAAGCAACAAGTCAGTACTTGTGACTTATTTCAATAAATCTGAAAATATTCACTCGATGCTGATTTATGTTTTGACATTTCATCTTGTGTCTGGTGTGTGTGATTTGTGAGATCAGAGTCTTTGAAGAGTTGAAGCTAAACATTTCCTGACATGCGAGTACATTTCTGCCCCGCTGTATCAACTTTAAAGTGCTGGCTGTTGTCCTGAAGCCATTAATGGCAACAGCAGAAGGGCGACCAGTGCTCCCTGTCCCAGCCTGTGAGCTGAATCGGGTTCAAACAGACCCATGCAGTGAATGATGTGTACTGATTGCAACTTTTTTAAATAACAAGGGAAATCACTGCCATAATGCTGATTGTTTTGGCTATACATACTGCTGATGCCACAGGGGATGACATTTATTTTGTTTAAATTTGATGCACTATTTTTGCAATAAAAAAGCAAAACGTTTTGGCTGCAGTACCGCATGGCTTTAGCTACACCAAACTACTTTGTACATACGTGAGAAAATGTTTTAGTTTTTGTCATCAAATGAAGTAAATAAAAAATCTAGGACCATGCCAGGTCATCAGTAGTTTGCCAAGTTAATGACAATCATATTCTAAAGTCTTAAAAGCAGCTACAATGAAGCCAGTAAGGATTAGAGCCAAAATGTATGTAACGCTTGAGGTATTAGAAAATGCAAAAAAAAAAAAAAAAAAGCCAACAGTTATTAAATAATTTGCTATGACATCATTTTTTATTTAAAAACATTGCAGAACTTTGTGAGCAATCACACAGGGTCAGTTGTTTGGTTGTAACTGTCAATCATGTGCAGGAATTCCTAGAGGGATGAATTTACAAAGGTGTTCAAACACTTCCACTGTATCTAATTTCATCAACTATTTCCACATAGCTCCCTGTACACATATACATAGAATCCAAAGGCTATTTCACAACACCGCAGCGCATGAGTAATTGTGAAACAGAGCAGTTCAATCATTCATCAAATTCTATATATCCCCTCCAACAAGGAAAGCTTGAGCCCAGGCGCCCAAAAAAATATGCTACTTATTAGAGACAAATAGCATATTCCACCTCGCCAGATCCAAAGACATGAATGCTAAAGACTCTGCTGGGTGCTGAAGTTGGCTCGTGCAAAAGGAAAACAGTCAGAAACACATTCCAAAACAGTCCAGGGACAGAATAACCTAACTGTGGGAGAACACGACAGTCAAAAATGTGAGAGGAAATTAATCGAGTTTGAGGGAAAACTTCAGTTGTACTGATGTTTGGAGGGAAGGGGTCCAAGTAGGGTTGCTTGCAGGGTCAGGTTTTCTAAAGGTGTTCCAGCAAGAACGTCAAAGAGACAACACAAGAGGGGTTCAAGAGAAACACGATCCAACATTGATCATAACTTATGATGTATTAATTGATAGTGGAGCATTCAAGTCATCAACAGAGCAGTGACAGAATAATGAACCGTGCCAACATGTCATCTATATTATGCTGCCATCTTGTGGCAAAGCTGTGCCAATACACATTTAGCCCCTGCAGAATTATCTTTAAAAAACCTCTCACAAACCTTCTAATGTAAGTAACAAACAATGGTACAGATTGAGTGTATTTAAGAAGGAAATTAACGTGGTTGCTGCTTTTGACAACCACCATGAACTCAGATGCATTTCTGAGTGTGATCATTCACTCTGTAGTAAACAATATCTGCCCAAACCAAACACATGTTCCCAATATAAACTAACATAGCAAGAGATTGGTAAGGGCTATATTACAATTAAAATTGCAAAACAACAAAGGGAGGTGGGCTTTTCAAATGCAGTTTGAATGGTAAATATCTATTTAGCCATTGTGGAGATATCAAAGTTTTGCCTGCAAATTTGAGAGCACATATTTCAAGGAGTACAACAACAGTAGGGTATAAGCTGTGGGTGGGTGGGTGGTTTCTACATACTGACACAGAAAAAATACATTGAAAATCTGACTTAAATAATAAACATTTATAAAAAATAAAAATTACGATGAACATAAAACCCCTTTGAAAGGTCTCCTTACTTTAGGAGGATATTGAGCTTGGGAACAAAGAACCCTGGGAGTGTAGTTTGACTCCCATTTTGTTGGCCTTGTGTTCTTTTGCCCCGCAGATAAACATTAGAGCTGAAACAACTGCAACTAATTTGATAATCTATTGAACAGTCTGAGCAAAAAATGAAAAACATTTGCATTAAATGACAGCAGTGTGAATCTCTTTGGGTTTTGGACTGTATGTTCGATAAAATAACCAATTTGAAAACATCCTCTTGAAACCTGGGAAAGCACGACAGGCATTAATATATTTCCTGAAAACCAACCAAACTTTTTTAATGAATCGAGAAAATGATCAGCAAATTATTCAATTCTAAACATAATGGTCAGTTGCAGACCTAAACAATATGCTACTAAAATATTCATACCTGATGAGCGACAAAAAACTAAACATCACCAATATCACAACTAACAACTAATCTTTTCATATGTATAAAACTGAATATGAAAGATCATAATTCTATCTTACAATATATACAGTACAAACACAATGTATTGAACAATGACAGACTGCACTCTTTCCAGGATACGGAAGTGATTGTTTCCTGTTTGTTTCTAAACTACTTATACCAATAGTCTTAATGCAAGAAAACCCCAGAGGGCCAGAGGTGACAGTGGATGTTAAAGAAGTTTATGCTACAGATTCACTGGCTAAAGCGTGTGTGTATGTGTTAAAAAGGTCAGTGTTTACACAAATTAGCTATATCCATGACTATGAAATTGTTTTTTGGCAACCATGTTACCAAGAATTTGTCAAAACAAAATGCCTTACTTTACAGTGTAAAACTCACAATGACAACATTACATCTAATGTCTTCCTGGACTGTAAACGTTTTTTGTTGGGCTTATACCCAGAGAAACATAACTATAGTAGGAATGAGCGGGCATTTATAGACCTCAGCTTGCTTTATGCTAAGAAATATGTTGCATTATTGTGATAAAAAGATTCATAGACCAAGTACTACTCAATCGATAAGACAGATGTTAGCAAGTCTTCCATTAGAGAGAATAACTTACATATTAAAGGATAAACAGCATGTATTCAAGGACATAGGGAGCCCTTTCATTCACTACATTAAGGACTTGGATATAACAGACGAAGAAGTGGATGACTAGTCTTTGTGGACACTGCAGATTCTGATCTTGTAAGATTTATATTGTTTTTCTATATGTGTGTTTTAATTTGCACTAATTACAAACAATAGTCGATTTTATATAGATTATCATTTTCTTTAACAGGAGGAGCATTCCTGTTCTGAGTGTTATGTTTTGTTTTTAACTTCTGTCTCTATGTAAATGCAGCGATCTTACAGTATGGAAGTTGAATGAAGATATACGAATGTAAAGGCTGTATGTCAAGGTGTTAAAAACTGAAAATAAAATAAAGATATTGTGGGAAAAAAAACAAAAAAAACATTGCATCCTAAGGCCTATAAAAAGTTCTGTATAAGGTTCTGTCATGTTGGGGAAAAAATACACATTTTACATTTAATCAAAGTCAGTGCATAACAGCAAATAGTCAATGTACAGTCCACACAGTTAAAAAATAAAGACCAATAACAATAATCCTCTGTAAAATGGACAGAAGACTGAATCCCAGTTTCAGTAAAAGGCCCAACTTCCAGTGATTGAGCTGTAGTTCATTTGCACTTTACAAGAACCAGTGACAAGTACCAATATTATCCACACTGGGAACAATCCAGTAAAAAGAGAAAGGGTTTCTCTTCAGTTCACAACACTTCATCGACATGTGCGTGGCTCTGCCCATCTTCATCGGCCTCCCTTTGAAGCTGCTGGTACTTTCTTTTGAAAAATCCAAACTAGAAAGAGATATTAAAGCATAAATGTTGTCACTTTTTCTGTAAGAATATGTCCATAAACACTAATGTAATGACTTTAAATTGGTTAATTAGTTAATTAATGGGTAGATTGCTGATAAATAAATCAAGATTTACTTTTAATCTAAACGCAAAAAGCTGAAAATTTCTATGAAAGCACAGAAACGTGTAGACAGACACGTACCTTCCACAGCAGTCCAACAGCCAGAGCCAACAGCAGCAGTCCGGCGATGATGCTGCCAGCAATCACTCCCACTGGAACATCACCCTTCTCTCCAGGTTTACTGACTGTCAGCACCACCTGGACAGGAGAGTCATTACATGGTCTGTCTCACTCAGATATGACATGAACAAAAAAATAAAATAAAAAGCCATTTCACACATTTTTTTCCTGCTTTTTGCAATGGCAGGATTAAATCACATTTTGACATATGACAGTTGTTACAGATAAAATGTGTTCACTGTCATAACTCTCTTCCTTATTCGGTTTCTTTACAGAAATTTCAACATTGAAATGTGATCTTACTGGTAGCTCTTTGAGGCCGATAATGAGCAGATCAGGGTTGGAGGTCTCAACATTAACACTGGAAGTCAGCTCAATGGTCTGATAGGAGGCCTATAATGACACATTCATACAGATGAGAGCATGAAAGCATCGTCAATAATTCAATAATAAGCAACATAAGAAAATTAAAGGTAATAAAAGCAGACAAAATAACCAGTATTTTAAAATTCATTGAATATATTTACCGAGAGAAATGTGCCACTCCAGATCCTTGTTTTAACTTTCACAAAGTAGGCACTCTTAATTTCAGTGTCTTTGAGGATGCATTTCATATAGTTGCATTTTGCACTCTTGCAGTCCTGTCAGTGAAATAGACATTAACAGAAGGAGATGACCAACACTGCATTGCAGTACAAACACGATTTCAATATCTTCCGCATCTATAAAACAAATACTATAGATATTAGTTAAACTTGAGTTGCGCTGTTAAATGCATAGAGTAAATTTAGAGGTATGAACTACATTACAATATAAATACAATATAAACTGAAATAAAGTTTTATTTGAAAATACTGTGATTTTATAAAAGATAAAAACTAGGCGAATTATGCTTCAAATCACAAATACAGAAGAACATGATAAAATCACTATCATCAATATTTTATTATGTTAATATATTACAGATTCAGATTCGTTCATTGCTAGCTTCTCTAATATACAAGTGAAAATGCTACACATCCTAAGGAACATTAAGAAAGTTAATATATAAAGAGAAAAACATGCAAAACGATTAGTGACCGACCAGTTTCTCTATGCCTCGGAGGTTCTCCTCAGAGAAAGACTGTTTGTAGCTCTTTCCATTGATCTTCAGAGGATCGACCAGGCCGCTGGAATCACAGCTGATAGAACCTCCCTACAGGTGGAGAAGCCTTATGTCATTTATTGTATAGATGTCACATTCCTACTCAGTGGGTCCCAACCTGGGGGTCCCAACCCAGACTAAGGGTTGCCAAAGATTCAGAGGGGGGTTGTGAAGCCTTTTTGATTTTAAAGTTTAAAGATTTTTTTGAAAAAAACTAAATGAAATTGTTATTTTTAAAGTTGAGATGTATTATTATTTAAAATATAAACTTCTCTCATAAGAAAAGGGCACGGTGAATACCTGAACACAAGCTATATTAACAGAGCCTTCAATCTTAATTCTAAACAGCCTCATCCTGCATTGGAGTATGCGGTTAAAACAACAACAAAAAAGGACAACACCCAAGCATCAAGGAGAACAAAACACTGAATTTTCTTTTTTAAGTAAATATGATTTTCGCAGAAAATAATCTGCTCAAAATTAATAAAAATCACAAGTTTTACACAAACCTCCTACTGTTATTGGGTTCACTATTTGGGTTATTTGTTCAGTTTATCAATTGCCCTGTGCAATTATTGTCATGCATTGAATATGAACTATCCCTAAAATATGTCTCTTAGTCAGGGGTGATCAGTTAACTCAGTGATGGAAGAGGGATCCCCTAAAGAAAAAGGTTGGGAACCACTGCTCCAAATCATACAGTAAATGTGAAAAAGGAAATTTTACACAGCCTGACTTAGGAAATATGAATTTGTGGGCGCTATGAAGCAGTCTGAATCAACCAATAACAACATCAAGTCCATGGTTGCCATCAGATCACCACCAACTCCTGTCAACTCAGTTAAACACTGTACGTTACTGTATATAGGATTTTACGGGATATTTATGAAGTTAAACAGTTTTTAAACTCAGTAAAAAGTTGCTGGTATTTGATACAGGTACCAGTACTCACTTGTGTGTCCACATTGGTAACATAGAGGAGCGGGTTTCCACCTTTAGTGGTCAGCGGCAGAGCAATGGTCAGATACAGGAGGTTGACAGGGAAGTTACTTGTTGAAACCTGTAAATACAATTTGTTTTAATAAATATACGTTAAAATAAATATGAGAAATTACATGATGATATATTTAAGAGACGGATTCATTTAATGCACCTTCACTGTAAAGTTAAATTCTGGGCCGATGTCATCTAGAGTTTTCACTGCCGTTACCACTGGAGTGGCAGCATCTGCCACGTAAAAATTGATATTTGACTCCCTAGGACAAAGAAACCATAAAAATTAATACTTTAATGCATTTCCCATTGTCAATTGTCAATCTTGCAATACATGACTTAAAATACTGTTACAGTAACATAAATTAAAATCACCTAGACAGAACAATCCCTGCATCATATTGAACAGGAATGGATATGTCCACCTTGTTGTCTGCAGGTCTTTCCTCTTTACCATCACTGTTAAGAAAAAAAGAAACAGCACATTATTACATGTATTAATTAATATGAATTAAGAGTCACCATTTTTAAATTGAATTTTAGTGAATTCAGTGTACCTCTTGGCCTCAAATGTCACCTCAGCTTTGTTTTCCAGCTCATTGAAATTGTAATCAAAATTGATCTGAAATTTCATCTGTAATGAAACATGATGTTTTATATTACTCACTGTAACAACAAATACATTTGTAAATCAATATCAGTTCAAATAGTTGAGTAGATAAAAAAATATTTTATTGCCTGCACTTACCTCTTGGCCTGTTTTTAAAGCTGGGTATCCCACTTGGCAAGTGACAGTTTGAGTTTGTGTTGAGGTGCATTTGACTCCATCCGTCTGTAAATGTTTAATTCAGAATAGTACATAACTGCTATGTGGCTTTGCAACAATGACATTACATAAATAAATATCAAAGAACATTTAATACACTTTACACTCTTTTTCTGTCTCAGTAAATGTTCAAGTATGGGTTAGATTAACTGAAAAAAATGTGATGAATAATTTATGGTGATGCATTTTATTTAGTGTATGTACATTATATGACATATATTATTATGTTGAAATATATGCCTAAAAGTCTATTCAAGGACAAGTATATGACTTTTTCCAAATTAGAATCATGGCAATAAAAACGGCACCTAGTGGAGCCTTTTTTCACTCACTTCAGGAGGAAAGACGGAGGAGTAGTAGAGGTTGCTGGAGAACGTGGCCAACACCTGAGTGTTGTATGCGTTCTCCTTTTTATTCTTCACAACAACTTCAAATGACAGTTCTCGGTTATTAGCGCTGACCAGAACGGGAGCTGAGCTGCAACACAAGACCTCAGGTTACTGCACTCTGTATATGTCACGTATTAAAGGAGCATTCACAGTATGAGTATTGTCTAATTGACTAGAGGGATAGAAATCATAGGTAATTAAAGTGATCTCTCCCCTATTACACCAAAAGATGGGACCTACTGTGAGTTGTTATTCAGATTGGTTAAAAGCAATTATGAACACTATTGTGTTGACTTGCATCTTAAAATGCACAATACAGGAACAAATTGCCTTCTTTAAAGAGAAAGAAGCACAAAAACAAGCATACACTACACCCAAGTCTACTGCTGCTTGTAATCAAATGTGTTCAAATATTGGAAAGTACTTTAAGAAGTCTTATATGTTCTCTGTGAAGTCCTTGTTCATATCCCTTCATCTGAGTAAATTAACAGAGCATGTATAACCAACACACAAGTTTATTGCCAAGCTCACAAGTCTGAACCAGCCATTTTATGGTCTATGAAGTTGCTGTATAAACTGGAAAACTCTAATTTGTGCAGCTATTAGCAATTACGACAGACTCATAAAACAGAGAAAATAGAAAATGCTGTAATGGTTGTTAGGAGTTACCAATGCATAACATTAAATAGAAGATTACCCATTTTGCCAAATTTGGTGTCATCTTCACACAAATCTTTCTTCCCTGTTTTATAAATGTGTACAATATTAGATGCTTTATGTGCAGAGGTGGAAACTAACAATGTAAAAATACTTTGTTACTGCACTGAAGTAGTTTTATCAGGTATCTGTACTTTCCTTAAATATTTATTTTTCTGACAGCTTTTTACTGACATTTTCAAAACAGGCTTGTTACTTAAGTTTTAATGCATTTGAGAGGAATTATTGATTATTATTATCATAATTTATATCACTGCACACCTTCCCAACATCTAGACCGGTGCACATTACACATGACAGATGTACCATGGGGCTTTTTTACACAAATATTACTACTTCTACTTGAGTAAAGAATGTGTGTACTTTTACCACCTCTGTATATGTGGGATAACAACTTTTTTTCTTCTAGAAAAATATGCGCAGGTACAGGTCAGTACATAGAAAATCGGTCTGACTCAGAGTAAAGAAAGACTTGCCTGAGCTTGTTCTGTCTGTATTGTTTTTATTTTCATTTAACAAAAAAATCATGTGAAATCATGAAACAGAGCACATCTTGTCTTTACTTCAAAACTGCATATCTGATGCTGTATATTGTATATGTATTGGAGAGCAAGTATGATATGTATCTTATACCCTTGAGGCAGGTCAGTGATTCTCACCTGGACGCCTTTGTGTCTGTCTTCGCACTTAGCACCAGATCACTAACACACACGTCATCAGAGCCACAGTCTTTTGTGAAAGGGATCTGAAACAATAACAGAGCAGGATGCTGCTTTATTCTTCAAAGGTTGTATTTTCAATAGATGTCTCTTTTCTTATAATCTCCTTAGATTTGTAACAAACACACCATAAAGGAAATGTATTATATTTCTACTGCAGTGGAAGTACTTTAGTCTTGTTGTTGGGAAAACACGTAGTGTGTAAATCTACTTGCGTGACATTGTGAAACACTTTAGTCTTAAAAGCCAGTAATCATCACACACACGCACAGACACACACCATGTAATTTTAAATGACTGGATAGTACAAACACAAAGTCTTATCACCTGATGTGTTTTCTGTAGAATTAGACCACAGGCAAAAAAAAAACATTGGTACAGATTTATAGATATCATGTAGTGTTCATCACTTACAAAGAACTCCCAGGCACTTGGAGAAAACACATCGAGGACAGGGTTCACATCTGCATTCTGCTGCTCGATTTCTACTTTCAGACTGAGGGAATTGACAAAGTCTGGTGCCTCCTGTTAAAAAAAGCACACGTTACTATTTTGAAAAAACACATTTGAATATCTCTACAAGACTTATCACACCAGGGTGCTCACATAAATCACCTCACAAAACTGAATCATTGAGAGACACAAGATTACTTTCATCCATTACCTGAACATAAACCTGGTAGTCTCGACACAGGGATGCAGACGATATTTTTGCCTTTTCTGTGAGGAAGCGCTCATTGTTCTGTGTGAACAGTCCTCTTGATGTCACTCGTGAAGCCTGCAAGTCAGCATCCAGAGTCAAAGTATAGGATATATCTGAAAGAAGTGAAAATATACTGTATATGACATACTCTCTGACATGTGAGTGCAATCATTTCTTTCTTGAAAATAATTTAATGGGATTTTATTATCTTTAAGAAATAGTTTTGTGCAATACACTTATTTGATTTCTTGCTGGGAGTTAGATTATAGGATTGATACCTTGATAAGTTGTAGTAATATTCTGTTTATTAGCACTTTTTCTTTTGTTTCTTATTAAATCAGTCCTAAACACAGTACTTCTGTCTGCTGACATGTTTGTATGAGCAAAATATAATGTAATGTGTTGTTATCCGCTGGTATTGCTAACTATTGCTAAGCTGACTAGAGCTTGGTTTAGCCAAGCTACCTGTTTCCACTGTTTCAAGTCTTTGTGTTAAGAGAAGCTAAGCAGCTGCTGGCTGTCGCTTAATATTTACTGTACAGACATGAGAGTGGTATTGCTCTTCTCATCTAACGCGTGGCAAGAAATTGAATAAGCGTATTTTCTAAAATGTTTAACAATTTAAGTAACAGAAATCGGGCATTCTTGAGAAGCCTAACAGGTAATCAGATTTACCAATGGGTCCAACAGGGTTCTTGGGCCTGAATGCAGCACCGAGACAGAGGTTGGCGGTGAAACATGTAAGCTTGCGTCCATTAATGTTGCAGGGTTTGTTGAAAATGTTGATTTTATTGGGGTTGAAAGACGCTTTAGCGGTGACAGACGCAACACCTCTGGACCTGAAAATTAAGTTCAAATTTAGATTATTACCAGCCAGATATTACCAGATATAAATGATTGGTTCATTTAGTTAATTTATTTCAGGTTATCTTCATCATTTATTGTCATGGTTAAACTTACCAAAGCTGCACCACTTTGCCATATGCACCAATGGAGATGTCAGGGACTGTATCATCATTCAGGTCTTTGTAGCTATCTAGGGACCTTCCAAAATACTGCAATTGAGGATCCAGTTTGGAGCCAAGAATTCTCTGAAAAAGATGATAAACAATGATCATCACATTATTTCATTAACTAAATGTATATTCATCATCAACAGAGAATTTAGCTCCAAATTCACTTTCTCTGTCAGTCAGAAATTAAACACGACCGATTCTCTCCGTACCTGTGAGAACTGTTTCTTTAATGTCTCCTTCTCCCCATTGTAGATGTAAATAACACCTTTTCCTTTGTCCTCGAGGGGGGCTCCAACAACAACATCATTGTAACCATCGAGGTCCAAGTCAGGAACAGCAGAGATGGCCATCCCAAAACGTGCATTCTCAGTCGAGGACGGACCTTCGAGGAATCCCTGCTCGTTCAGTATACCCTTCCAATGATAAGATGGAGAAACTATGTGGTCAAATGTCATGCTAACCGTTTCTTTTAAAATTGAGAGAACAATAAATTAAATCCACATCTTTTTAAAATTTTAGAAATGAAATATATCAGCTTTGAGAATCTCTTACAGTACACCCACTTTTAATACAAAACGGTGCTAACAGACTTTCTAAATCATGAAAGGAAATGTAATCATATAGGATGTCATTATCAAACACTGACTATTCTAATCCATCGGTGTGAATAGTGGTAATCATGTTCACTGTTTCCCAGGAAATCCAGACCACAAAGTTTTACTCTAAAAGTAAAATTTTTACCTTGGTGACAGAGAAGAGGTGGACCCTGCCTTCTTCTCTCTTCAGCTCGCTCATAAACATGGGCGCACCAACCAGCAGGAGGTCTGTCACCCCATCTCTGTTCACATCCAGGGAGCATAGCACGCTTCCAAAGTATGACCCAATCTAGGACAACAAAAGAAAAGCTTTTTACTGATGATCAATTACATTTGTTTAGGTTGCACACTACATGTAAACATTAGGTTCCTGGGGGAAAATGTGAAAACCATATTCTCTAATCTCGTTACCTGTTTTCCTCTTTCTGAATCTATGATAGCAGATTGCTTCTGGGCGTTGAAGGTGTAGACGATAACCTGTCCAGAGTGGTTGGAGCGAGGTGCACCAGCCACAAAGTATTCTGTATGCCCATCACTCAGTGTGGTGACAGAGTAACCTGGAAATTACCACAAGTAACACATTTAAAAGTTGATATAGTACATTATAAAGTGAATTTAATCAAATAGTGTACTTAAGTAGATTTTTGAGGTATTTGTAACACCCACAGTACACAGGTGTTTTTTTTTAAATATCCATTTATAAAATATTTTGCATGAATATTAATTTCACAACTAAATTATAAAATTTAGCTTAAACTACTATTTTCTAGCTACTACATTAAAATGCTGATTATATTAAAATGCATCAATAACATATTAAAACACTGACACTTTTACCTTTGATACTTTTGGGGATTTTCTGACTTGTTCTGACATACTTGTTTACTTTTACTTAAATACTTTTAATTGTAACATAGTATAGTTCTATACACTGCAATATTACTACATTTACATAAGTAGGCCATCTGAATGCTTCTTTCACCACTGTACTTAGACCGGCCGTTGTAACACAGTTTCAATGCCGTAACATGAGTGTGAAAAAGACCAAACCATTGCATAAGGTCTGTGGTATACATATTGTTTCAAATTTTTTTGTAATATAACTATTGTAAGTTTGTGGATTCTCTAAAAGCCATTGAAACAAAAAGCATTATAACAGATATTTTAAGTTAATTTAAGGTTTGAAGATGCACTAGAGTTATCCTGACAATCACCACAAGGCGCCATCATGAATATCCACTTATATTCACCACTGTTGTGTTTACACTGTTATTACCAGCTCAGTGAACATCTCCATTACTTTATTATTTCATATCAATAACAGATTTAAAACTTATAATAGAGTTGGTCAAATAAATCCAGATGATCCAATTCCTACCCAGTAATGAGCTGTGGTTCCTGTCTTGAAGAGTTCCTTCAAAGGCTGAGAAAGGGAGAATGTCTACTATTGACCCTTTTTGATGGACGACGGTCCCACTCCAAGCGTAGGCTCCAACTGCTCCCAGCATCAGCACATCCTTAAACAGCCCAGGCCAAAGACCAGTCAACAGACATCTTATAATACACAGCATTTATATTTCTGAACTGTCTTACAGACTGAGCTTCTTGAATGCATAACCAGATGACATAGGGTGACATAACATCATAACAGAATGTACGTTACTGTGAACACTATGAACATAGAAAGATATCTAACTACCAAACATTCATTATTATACAAAAGAATGACAGTATAGATCTATATACTGCAATTTAACTACATTTACATAAGTAGGGAATCCGAATGCTTCTTTCACCATTGTATTTGACCAGCCGTTGTAACACAGTGTCAATGAAATAACATGAGTGCGAGAAAGACCATTGCATAAGGTCTGTGGTATACATACTGTTTCAAAATATTTGTGAAATATTTATTGCAAGTTTGTGGATTCTCTTGAACTTGAACCACAAAAAGCATTCAGCAGGAGGGCTGTTGCAAAGTGATTCTGTGATCGGCTTTATAGTCCCTTTAAATTTTGCTAGCTGTTGGTGGTTACTCAACAGTATTTAATTATTATAACATATTTTCATAACTTTGATTACAGAACTGGTGGCCAGTGGTGTGTATGTCTGTACTGTAGACAGAGTATGTGTGTGGCAGGATTTAAAAAAATGAGGGATAGTCTGGCAAAAAATTGTAAGCACTCATGCATCAACACAGTACAAGTACAAACTCCTGTATAATGCCTTGGCATCAGATAAGCCTTCACATTACACCTCTGTTAGCATATTTCAAACGTCCCACAGCAGTGTCTGAAAACAGCCAAACACGTGAACTTGCTTTGTCACAATTAATAAAAAAGTGTTAAAGCAGTCTGTACCTGTTGGCTGGAGTAGTGAGCGCTGAATCCCACCTGAGACATCTCCATCTTGAAGTTATCACCCCCTTTTCCAGTGCCTGGTAGGGACAGACCATTGTGTGAACATCAGAATCAACAACAGAGGAGCAGATCAAGAATCAGAGTGTTTATCCCTCTTGGAATGTACAGATATGACAGAGGTGTCTAGATGAGTTCCTTTGAAAACAGAGCATGAATGAATATGCAGTATGTAAAAATAAATAACATTCACCTTCTATGTTGAAGATGCGGTTCCCCAGTGTTCCAGCGATAGTGGAGAGGACCGCCTCTTCCGACACATTGAAGAAGTACTTTTCTGTGGGTAAACTGGCAATGGATTTGATTTCTTTTATCAGGTTTTCTGTGTTGATGTTGTTTCTGATGTAATAACCCAGCACCTAGAAAAAAAGAGGAAAGACTGCAAATTCAGGATTGCAAAGACAAAAAAAGAGGTCTAGGTAATACACTGGCAAACCTCAAATTAATGGTGCCATCTCAGCATCAGAAACCTTCAATGAATCCACACAGTGAAACTTAAAGTGTGATTAAAATCAGGAAAATGAAGCTTAAACTTGTGACTTGATTTATCAATATTAATCTATGAGAGTAAATAGCAAATCATCACGTACAGCAATACCAAAGCGAGTGATGCCTTGTTTCTCACAGTCGGCAATGACCGTATCTCTGAAAGCCTCGTCGTGAGACTCCCCATCGGTGACGACTACCATCACCTTGGCAGCGCCTGATCGAGCGCCGTTATTTTGATTGAAACCCCACTGACTGAAGAGAGCACACACAGTGGAACAACATCAAAATGATAAGAAAAACAAGAAACCAAGCAAGCAGTCAAACATACAGTATAAGTAAATATATGCATGCATACATAAAAGGCAACACTAACCTGGCATATTGGATCGCATGGAAGGTATTGGTAGAGTGACCATACATTTGTGTGATACTGGATGCTGCAGCTACCATTTCATCTTTGGTTTTATACTTGTTCAGTTTGAATTCAAACTTGGGATTAACGGCATACTGTATGACACTGACCTGGCACAAAAAAGAACGGCGTGAAAAAAAAGCAAAGAAAGCTGTCAGTAATGACCACAAGGAGAAAAAGATTATCCATTGCTTCATCTCTGCCTACATTTCCTTTTATGGCTACCTGTGTGTTTTGGGGTCCGATGTCGAGCGCAGGTATTAATTTCTGGAGGAACGCGGTCATTGGTTCCCAAGGATAAATGCTGTTGGAGCCGTCCAAAACAATCACAATGTCCATAGGCCCTCCACATGCTAGAAAAGTCATGAGAGCAGACATCATTAAACATTTTAGCAGCATTCATGAATGGAACTAAGGTCATACCCTTCACGTTACTGCTGAACATTTTCTGAAGCTTACTGAGCTCAAATTTATTTTCTAGCTTCCATGCAGCTGGTTTCAGTTAATGGCAATTAAATATAAAAATTGAGAGAATTGAACCTTGTTATCTATCTATTAGTTGCCTTTTTTTATTTGTTAAATTACATTAGTAAGTGGTTACATGGCTGCAAGCAGAGACACTTTCTTCTTGGTGAGTTCAAGAAAGCTCCAACATTTGGGAATTAAGAGCTGAGGAAAAGCTGAGCACTGACGAGCTATGATGTAAAATATCGAACCAAGAAGATGAATAACAACTTTGGAAAGAACAATTCAAACTTGGCCATGTCTTGCATTAACAAGGTCGCTGTTTAGTAAGCCAACTATAAAATCTATGATGTTACAGTTTCCACAACAAAATGGTCCCTGACGGCATAACAGGGTGACGTAGCGTGACATAATATTACAACAGAATATACGTTACTGTGAACACTATGAATGTAGAAGTATCTAACTACCAAACATCCATAATGATACAAAAGAATGACAGCTCTTACTCTGGACGGCAGGAGAGAAGGCGGGTTGAGGTCGAAAGAGTGGGTTCAGTTTTGCACATATTCCTGGGTAGAAGTCCTGAGTACCACACTTCTGTCCCCAAAGAGGACCACACATCTGTATCGGATGTCCACGGAGAAAAAGAGAAGAGACTTGTGAGCAAACTACCGAAAAAAAAGGTAATCTGGGAAACGACAGTTACCACTGTAACCAGAGATGTCTACTTTATGATACAGGAAGGCTTATTGAGCCACCAGATTAATGACATTTTGTCTCCCAGTAAGCTCTTATGTCTGAGTTCAAAAGTTAATTACATTGTTGTTAATTGTACATTCAACTCATATGATGTGTTTTTTTGTGGTAACTAACAACACAGTGAAATTGTGCAGTGTTGTGCAGTGCAGTTATTTTGAATTACTTTCTGTTGCAGAAAACCAATTTAGCTAAACCACAGGCACACTTCCTTCCACCTTTAAATAACATTTTAATGTACATTTTTGAGGAAGTCATGATTTAATCGGCCCATGGCACACTGCTGTGTCGTCCATGCGTGTCCATCTTGTGACTACAATATTTCTGACAGCACTTTAAGGACGTGTTATGCATCCAGATTAATAACAGAAACACAAGAAACATCTGTAATATTTTAGGTTAGAAAGTAAAAACATATTTTTTTTGCACTCTCTTTCTCTGAAACATTGACTGGTACATTAACTTTTTTGTCCACCGGCCAAATTCGAATTTTACCAGTGACATTTGGCTGGCGTTAATTTTGTGCCCTGCTCTGAAAGAGCATGATTAACTTTCTATCTTTGGTGTGAAAGCAGACACACAAATACAAACACACATACCATCAAACCATCTGCAGGCATCCGGGTAAGAGTCAGCCCGAGGCACATGTTATCGATGGCGTTTTTAACATTTGGAATACTGACAGAGTCTGTGGATGAAGACATCAAATTAGCTCTTACATTAAAGCTCAGATTATAGTTGTTAAATCTGAAATTTATACAATGTGTATAATTATCATAAGCTGAATAAAATACATGCTTTGCTGGAATACACTGCTGGTGACGCATCTTTTCAGTGCGTGTTTAGGCACTTTAAGTACATGGCCAATGTTTGCCAGAGAGGTCAAAAGTTTAATAATAAAACCCCAAACCTTACCTTGAAGATTGAGCTTGTCACAGCTGTTTCTGGACCCTGAGACTGGACACTTGTAAACATCCCCCTTCCTGTTTCGACTGAAACCACTCCATGGAGCACTAACCAGGAGCCTACAGAAAACAACATTATTCATCTCTTCCACACTCGCATAAACATGCACCGTAAAAGTAATCTTTGAATGTTTGTTGTGTACAGTATTTGATCCAAATGATTTGATGCTGACAGTGGTTACAGAATTTCTGTCTATAGATGTAAACTTGAGGTAATGACAAAGAACAAAAGTAACTTCACTACTTTAAATATATGTTGAAATAATACATGAATCAAACTGTACTGTAGTAACCTCTGGGCCAATTGTTGTTAAATATACATTCATATCCATATCATATGCTACAATGATATCATATCTGTATCATTGTAGCTGCGAGTTTGAGTGTCAAGTCATCTCATTTTTCTGACCTCCTATAAAACAGCAAACAGGATTCTACAAGTTCACACAGAAGATATCCACTTCAAACACATTTTCCCCACATCACAGCATTCAGACACTGCTTGTTGTTGTTGAAGCTGTTACTTAAGACATTTCTCAAAATCCAGAACAGCCAGTAATAAAAAATATATAAGACCCAATACTGCTGTAAGGCTGACCCTAAATTCTACATTACTGGGGCATTTTCTCACCATATCAAACACAGCATGCTAAGCGGAACACATCATTCTTATGTAAGTTAGAGGACAGGAAATGGGATGTGTCACTGTTTTCATGATATAATGGTGAAATATACAGAGATCAGAGAGTCAGAGATCACCCTGAGATACTGTACACTCTAACTAATTAACCCTCTACGTGACACTCCTCCAGACAGTGAGTTACTCTATGAGACTGTGACTCAGTGTGCAAGATCCAGACATCAATGAGACGTCCAGTTACTGTTTAACTAAACTGTTACAAATGAGTGGGGCAAAATGTAAGAGGCTTTAAACATGACCTAATTATTTGTCACACACAACCATGTAACAATGTATTGCAACATCAACTTATCAGTAGAGACATACGGTACTTCGACAAACAGTAAATACTAATGTCAGTATGCGTCAGTAAAAAACACCAATGCCAACCTCATGGTCACCACCAAGAAGAAAGGTCAGGGGATGAATATCTGTGCCGAATTTCCTGACAATCCATCAGAAGCGGTGGACTGAGCGGCCGCCCAACAGCATTGCCATCCCCAGACCCCAGACTATAAACATGGCTAGAAACAAGTAGTGCTACAACAGTGTTGAAAAGAGGAGCATTTAACAACACCCAACCTCTTAACCTTCGCAGTGCATCAAACAAAAACCACAGCAATTTCCCTTCCCTTCAGGTAGAACCAAAATGATACAGCTGAACTGGACACAAATTAAGTGAGATTTTTATTTTAATCATGGTGTCTGGTGCCAACACTGCAGGCTAGCGGTAGTAGTATGTAACAATGTGGAGAGTTGTTTACTTGCCACAGAATACCTAGACACTGCTGATTACCATGTGTGTCTTTTATAGCAACAGGCCTTCATTTGCAAAATGGATACTTCTACAAGCAAAAAACTCCACGACGTGACAAAAATGCACATATCAGTTCAGAGAAAGAAATATTACAGTTGGTGTACACAAACAACTTTCAGAGCCTTGAGATCTCAACCCTGCAGACGGTAGAGCATCTTTGGGATGAGGAACATGGATTTTTTTGGTAATGCACACAATAACAAAACACCTGGTGAAGCAAGTCCTTGTTGAATCTGGAAACCAGCCTGTTCAGGTGTACAGGCCTGTACTGACAAGGTCTATCTACAAACATGGCCCACTGAATGTGAATCTGCACTTTGCTTCTTTGTTTGCTCTAACTGCTCTCTCCAATATACGAACAAAATCATTAAGCGATTACTTAAATTCATACCATTTGCCCTCATGGTTTGTCGCTTGTTGGACTGAGTAGCCAAACTCTTCCGCTGCTGGTCCACTGAAAATCTTGGCTCCTGCAGTGCCAACGTTGAAGGACTGTGAGTGCCAAACTCTGTCAGCTGGTGGAAGAGAAACATAATGGTGCATAACAGTGATAGTGACAGTTTATAACAGCACCTCAACGATCATCATATAACTCTTCACAGTTGCACCTACTCTAAACATTACATTATTTTGCAGTTTTGAATTTGTGTGTCCTAAAGTTCAAAACATAATTAATATCATTATTATTTTTCAAATAGGTTTGAGACTAAGCAACTTCCTTCCTTGTTTTGAAAACTGCATCAGCTTGACTCATGAAACCAACTCAACCCACTGAAAAGCTTTTCAACACTTGAAGGTCACACTAACCATGGAGCGTTGAGGATTGCGTTAATAGACATTGCCTGCCCCAGAACAGTGTGTTTCTCCATAGACAAAAATCCACCTTCAAACACAGCTTTCTGAACACCCTCAGGACATGGAACTTCCTTGCTTATGAGTGAGTCCTGCTGCAGCAATAGACCCACAAGCCCATACAGGCAGAGCTCAGTGCTCAGTGTTAAGCCCTGCGTTCCCCTCAATCAGCAGGGACAGGAATGTGAATGGGTACTAGACTCAGGAGACCTTCACTAGCTCTTGCCACGCCTGTTTACCTGCAGCACAAAGTAGCACTTTGCCTCCTCTTGGGGGGGCTCTGCCAAACCCCATAACATATTAATATTTCCTTTCAGTCCAGAAATGGGAATGTGCATATAGGAGAATAATTAAAAGTCTCCTGTCTGGCTGCTGCTTGAAATAACCAGTGGAAGGGTTATAGAGCAGGCATCGCGCAACACCAAATGGCGTGACTTTTCTCCGCTATGATGCACATTAAAACGAGAAATCTGGACTTATTTATTCCGTGCGGTTTGATAGCAGATTCAGAGGAAGGAGCGCTGCAGGGTGAAGTGAAATCTAATTCAAAACAAACGCTCTTCCAGGCGGATTCATTCAATAAAAAAGACTGCATACTGAGCGTGCACTCCTCTGCTGCTCTTCAGATGTGTTTGAAAGAGTGTGGAAAAAGTTAATGATCACATTCAAAGCTGCAACGAACGACCAATACACATTTCCAAGTCTACTCTTATGAAAGCGATTTAAAACCCCTCGCTATTCGTGGGGTGGATATTTTGGATCTTTTTACTCTGGCTGAGGTGATAATGGAAAACAGAACAGGTTCAAAGTCCAAAAAACAAGTTCAGTACTTACTAATTATGGCTGTAAAGAAGAAGATATTCCCCCAGAAGAAGTCCATCGTCGTCTTTATTCCATTTGTATGAGGTGATTAACTGAAGCACTTGTCAAAAGTCACGGCAGCGCACAGCGAGTCATCGGTGTGACGCACCGGATGGACTTCCTAAATAAGGACTTGTGTTCATCCTCTTACCTGCCCATGCAGACTTTGACCAAGTATTATCAAAGGGTGTGAAGTGAAGTCTGCAATAATAAAGTGAAGGAGGTTGGGAAATCCGGTTATGATCATCCCGAAAAAGAGACTCCTACACGTTAATTTCATCTCAAGTCATTTGCTTTTAATGTAAAGCTTATAATGAGCTTTGTATTTAAAAAAAAAAGAAGGTTTGAGGCAAAAACAAACCCACACCCATTTTAATCCCGAAAACTCCAGAGCCACATCATGGGTGGAAAACTTAAATCAACAGATGTCAAATAAAAGAATAAACATCATCAACTGTCTCCCATCACCCTATAATTTCTGTAGAGTTATGACTGAGAGAAGAAAATCTGAAGAAATGTAAAATATTAAGAACATATAAACTTAAGCCCAAACAATAGAGAGTCTATTCTGAGATCTGTAAGGAGAGGGAGCCTTCCTTCCTTAACTGGAAAACAATGATGTAAGTGCCTCCATTGGATCATGTGTAAGAGACTGTAAAGTTACAGGGGAGGATGGAGAAAGAGTTGAAGGGCATTTCATTTTAAATGAGTGGTTTCATTCCCAAATGTTGTTTTGGAAAGAATGTAGGCTTGTGCTTGTTGCTTAATACCCACACACATAATGACGTCCACTGATGTCATAGTGATTGGTGAGAAAATAAGTAAAGAGGTAGTGAATGTAAGTGACAAGTTCAATATCACAATTAAAGGGAAATTATGCAAAAAGATAAGTTTAGTGTTCACTGGAACAATGACGTTGTTTTATAGTGTCTCCTGGGGGTTTGGAGGGGGAAAATAACCCCAATGACTTCATCTGGGCTACGGATATTTAACAGAAAGCCTGCATTGTGAACCGGGGTTGTGGAATTTGAAATATGTGGGCATTTTCCGGGCAGGGAGAGTCAAATGAAAATTTAGGTTGCATTGTGGGAAATGTAGGATCCAGAGTGAAAGTCGGGACATCTCAGCCTCTGCCGCTACAATATTGACATTTAAAAACAAAAATGCAACTTTTGTTTACTTCATTAAGACTAAAGCTGTCTCTCCAAGGACCGCTACGATGACGTTCAACTTCACCTGGAAGCACCCCAGTACAATCCCAGTCTGGTCTCTAGGCCACTGAGTAACTGGGTGTAAAATGCCTTGCTCAAGAGCACCTCAGCGGGGGTAATGAGGAAAAGGGTAAGAACTGTTCTTTTACTTTACTCTTGTGAGCCCCACAACTGCATAAAACTAAATCAACAATGCACCTCTTTAACCACGTTTACCAGACAACACTGCTGGTTATAATTAAGCTATTTAGTTATTGAACACAGGGTGCCATTGCTTTGAAAGGCTGCTGTTGTCCTACCAGACTGACACTCACCAATCACAGCCTAATTACCTCCCCTTGACTTGGACACAACAGAGACTGTTGATGACAGTCAGAGCTAAAGAGCACAGCAGCAGTTTTTGAGTCTTAAGACTGAAATATTTGACTGAACTCTCATATATAGGGTGTATATTACATAATTATTTGGTCTAATTAGATGAAACTTATTCCATATTACCCTACCATTTCTCTTACAGTTTCATTGTAACTGTCTTGGTGCTTCTGTGTCTTTCTTTCTTAGACCAATGAATGTACTGCCTAATAACAAAGATACGTTAAACATCATTAACATCAGCTCCACCCTTCCAAATATGTCACATCAAACCTTAAATCATAGTTCTGAACATAGGCGTACCCTATAAGTTGCCAAACTTTATGCTTCCATATTAAACAACCACAAAAAATAATTAAAGGCTTACACTCAAACTTCTCTGTTTAATATGAGGCCTGCGAGGAGTTGTGAAGCAAACCTTGTTCAGATGCCATTGTAACTTAACTCATTTTGGCTGATCTGTTCGGTCACCTTGCAGTAAATGATCTGTATCAGACTTCAGTGTCCAGATACACCGTAGTCTTTGGGGAAGTAGGTAGGCCACAGACCCATGATCCTCACTGGTGTTGATTCACCAGTGGTGGGGAAGCCCCGGAAAAAAAGTATGCTCAACCTCATTCAGAAACCCCTATGCCTCCACTCCTTTTGTGCAGTCATGATTCTTGTGTAAGTCATCTGGTGAGCCGGAGCACCTTGAGAATTCCAAATGAGCAAGGTTAAGCATTTGTTTGGAAGTGACGCGGAACAATTCCGGGAAAAGGCTGGCCTTCTTTCTTTCTTTCTTTCTTTCTTTCTTTCTTTCTTTCTTTTCTGATATTTGTGTTTACAAGACTTGTTTTGAAAACTGGACAATTCACTTTTCACAGAAGTGAGGAGAGCAAGAGGATACTGCTTTCTCTAACAGTCCCAAGAGTTTTAGACAATTCATGCTGAACAGTCTAAGGAAGGAACTTGAAACAGCAAAGCTCATGGTCTTTTTTCCTGTCAGGCCCCGACATAATAGAGCAGTGTGTGCACGTCATTAAAAAAATCCCCACTGAAGCACATCATGAATCATCTGATGTCGGCCTGGATATTTGAAAACCATTTATAATCACAGGACAAGCTTTTGTCATTGTAAAAGAAGTGCATTTCTCACTTGCCTCTTTTGGCATCTTGTCTTTTAAATTGTTTTGGTTTTACTGTATTTTCCATCCAACACAATAGTGGTGGATTCAATTTATTTTGTGGTGCTCACAGAACTGAACAATTCAAAATATTAACCAGCAACACGTGTACAACATGTCTCCCTGTTACTCTGGATGATCCATACAAAACAATTTTCATAAGAACTACTTTCCACCAGAGAAATAGTCTCTATGTAAACTGTATATTTATATTTTACAGATATTCATGTTAATATCCATTCTCTGTGCTGTATGTTTCAGTATTATTCAGATCATTTCAGACATTAGTGAACCTGTGGATCACATGCCGAGTTCCTGTGTCCTGGAGAATGCAGCAAATGTTCCCTCCTGGATGCCCCTTTGGTAGATAAAACATGACAAAGTGCCCTCTAAGGTGTGTTTCACCCGACTGCATCACGACTTTATGTGCAATGGTGTCCTCTTTATTTTTTTCAACCCAGCTGCTCAAACAACCACCACTGATTTCAGATGTATCATTCACCATGGACACAACAAATGTAATGGCCAATGCAAACATAGAATCATTTTCCCAATTCAAAAACATTCCAGCACCACATCCATTGCCTCTCTGATGAAGAGAAAACATTCCCAAACACTTCTTCCATCTCAGGCTCCATCTCAGATGATTCAGAGTCACAGATTTTGTCACCAGAGCTTTCAGACAGATATTCTCCCAGGAGGAAAAACACAGCTTTTTTTTAGCGCTTTTGTTAGTTATTTCTGTTTTAAAACCTCATTATACAATATGCAGAGACATGATACAGTCACTCACAGATATAGTTCTGGGTGAGTGGACTGTAACATGGAGCTAATCCCTCTTTCACACCCATCTGCTGACCAATGGGAATCTAAGGCCCTGGTTTTCCCTGTTGCATTGTGAGCCAGACAGTCACATCCAGCAGGCTCAGAGGGGCTCACGAGTCAATGACTGCACACAGACATGGTTGTAATGTGACTTGTGAGTGAAGTTACTGTCCTGTCACAAGATGACAGAATCTTTTATTAGATTTGTACAGGTGTATTTCCAACGATCCTCAAGTGAAGAATGCAGTTTATTTGTAAATGTGAGCAAAATGATGCCCTTGTTGAGTTGGCAGCCAGTGGTTTGCAGATATGATATCAGCCATGTGCAATGTGCTTCCTCAGCATCCTCCTTATGGATGACACACACATACAGCATGCACTTGAATGCTAATAAACATCATTCCTGTTTTCCCAAATAAGGAAAGAACAGAAACATATAACATTTACAGCAGAACAATTTGCAATGATCATTCCTGGGTTTAAATAAAAGCCACAACTGCTTGTTGACATTAAATTGGAGACAGACTTGTGGGAGAGCGGTCTTTCGTCCACAGTAGGAAAAAGTGGCACATGCTGTTGACGTAAACTCTGTGAGGCATTGTATTCTAAAATACAGTGAAACAATATACTAAAAACACAATAGCTTTAATTTAAATATGATGGGACAACCACATCAAAGCTTGTTACCTAGCTTCAAGTGATTTTTATTTTTGACACCTGGTGTGTGAGAGAGGGGGGTGACACGCAGCAAAGGTCCCAAATAAGGCTGGAACCAGGATTGTTGTGGTTATATGGCATGCATCTTAAGTCACTGGGTCAACTGGATGCTGCAGTTTACTGTACCCCTCACAGACATGAAAGAAACATAGACCGTGTCAAGAGTTACAAAGCACAAAAGCGATTTTATTGTGGTTCGAAAAATAGCTGTGTTGTGTCATTGAGGTTAGGGCAATGTCATTATATGACTGTTTGTCATTTTCCTCTAAACTCAGGCAACCACTAAGAATTTTCAAGGCCATTTTGAACACACGATAAGTTTCTGACATGGCAACAAAGACACTCCTTATCTTTTCTTTAGGCTAGAGGGAAAAGGTCTGTATGAACCAAGGGAAGGGCAGACTCTTGCATTCTCTTGGACTAGTTGAAAAATATAAAAGGGAATTATGATTAAAATATGAACATGTGGTAATAAGAAAGACCAGCCACTGACCTCCACCTACATGATGTGACTATATTAGCTGGAAGAGTATGGTATTGCATCAAGTGTTGCGTGCAAGTTAATCTGTTCACCCACTATAAACTCATTCAGTTCAAAGCCTGCAAACTGGGGTACAGTATACAGAAAACGTAAAACCAAAATAGCATGTGTAACTAAAAAAATGTTTTCAATGATTAAAAACATTATAGATTCATTAAGAACAAGAAAATCACAAACTATAAAACTATATACTATACTAATACTACTAAACTATAATAAAAATTATTATAATACATTTATTTTAACAACATTAACCAATATTACAGTTTAGATTTTTAGATTATTGGGGCTAAAGCTGTTTTTATTTGTGTCTCCAATCCCTGTATATCTGCACTCATATTGTATAGGATGACTCACTCGAATGTAAGCAACTAAATTGTATTGTTTTATGTTTAATTATCAACATTAACTACATATATTCTAATTATTATTGTTTATAATAAACCAGATAAATCAAGGGCTGATTAATGGACAAAACAATAGCTAACAGGCCCTGTTGACAATCTGAAATCTGTGAATGAAATCAGCCCTCTCATTCATGTACTAGTCAATTGTAAATTAGCAAGCCAGAGTATCTTTGCACAAATCTTCCAATACTGTAACTGCATGATGTAGAATACACATTTTAGAGCTTTGCTGTCCTAACAGCAATGACTCATCAGTGACAATCAGCTGTAATTTGATCATAAATGAGGTGAGGTTTGTCTGGGCCCTATTTGATCAGCAGTGTTGCACAGACACAAAGTCACCAGATGATGGCAGAGTTTGTTTCTGGTTAGTAAATATTACTGTTTTCATTGCATAGCAGAGAGAGGTAGAGTAGGACAGGTTACCTTCAAATAAAATCTAATGTTTATCCAGTGTTTTCATGAGTCATAAATGATGTGCCTTTTCTTTGCAAAGAACCGAGGGACTAATTTAGTTTTCAGAAATGTGTCTTAATAGGTAACATCTATACAAAGGGTCATAGCATAAAGAGTAAATTAATTGGGATTTGATTTAACTTTACATGGTGAGTTTTCATTGACAAACCAGTGTTAAAGGAACAAAAATACACTAAATTCAAATGTCTTCTGTTGTACCTAATAAACTAGAAACTTGGTGTAACTGTGCCTACAGAATGGACCTCAATGTATATCTCCATTCATTTCAAAAAGGTGCAAACACAAATGTAGCAAATAAAATCTCACATTATAAAGAATTTATTGCAGGCAAACAATACCATAAATAATATTTACAAACTATAAAACAACATTCCTTTTTATGGGTTCCATGGATTGGGGGTAAACAGTCTTTCAGTCTTGGATAAGAATGAATACTTTTTGCAGTTGCACTGACCGCTTCTAACTGCAAAATGTGTAGATATTTAAAGCTACATTCAGGAAATAAACTGTATTCAGATGCCCTGCATTCTCAGAATTTTGAATCATTTACCTAAAATTTCTTAAAATGTTGACTTTAACCACAGAAAGATTTAAAAAAAAGGGTTTGTCTATATTCCCAGTTTGTGACTGAATTTACAGCAAGTATTGAATTTTCCAAACTGCACAGCCTTTCACAGTTCCTGACCACTTAGGTTCACTGCAGCCAGTTTAACAGATGAATAGCCTTGAATATAGTGTTTCATATTGGCAACCTGACAAGAGACACAAGTTAACAATGGTGGAGATAAAGGCTGTATATATGCATTGTATATAGATAGGTATGTAGTAAAACAACCATCTCACCCATCCACGGTACATTTCACATTAAGATTATGCATCTCTGTTGAATGATTTATATTTTTTGGCCTGCGGTTTAGGCATGGGGCATTAATTAGTATTGAACAACCAATGCACACATTTGATGAAACTTATCTGCATTTCAGAAATTAACTCTTTAAAAAAATCCACAGCACACCATTTCCTCTTGGCATCCAGTTTACGCGTAAAGGAAAAAACTTTCTGAAAGAATTCAAAACAAGAGAGAACTTCCCTGTTAATACCTTAATGTTTCAAACAATTATCCCGTTGATTGTCCCCATTTTCTAATCAACACTGACTGAAAAAGGTGTCAGAAGTGCAACTATGAACAGCTTTTTGTTAAAATGCTTGTTTGCAGTAAAATAAATGTTTGAACCTATCTGATGCTAGTTTCCTTCGCCTTTCAATAATCCAGCAACTTGAGTGGGAAAGGTACAGTATATGCCTTTTGAGTCTCACAGATTCTCACTCTCACGTCATTGTTGTCGTTTCCTCTCTGATTCTAAACAAAAATTCTCAAAAGCTTCTTCCATCTCAGGCTCCATCTCATCTTCAGAGTCTTCATATCTGTGAACAAAACAACATGAATGATTTAGAACCGCAACCTTTACTTTTTAGATCTTTAAGACAAATGTGTTACTGAAACTTATATTAACAAACCCTACAAAATGTTGATGCAATTTCCATTTACATGACACACAAAAACACTAGCTCACAGACACCACTCTGAGAGAGAGGACAGGCTGAGATAAGCCCTCTTTCACACCCAACTGCTGACTACACTGAATCTGAGGCCATGGGTGACCCTGTTGCATTGTGGGCCAGTCAAAAAAATTCAAACTCAGGGGCCCACAGGTGGTCATATGATCTGTGTGAAGCCACCATTCAGTCACATGACTGAAGATGTGCCAGCGCAGTGGTACTGTTGAACTTTTTATTCTGAAGGTCATGCAGGTCAATGTGCCACCTGTGGTACCAGTGAATCTACGACGCACATCTGTTAATGGTATCCATAGCAACAAGCATCAACAGGTCCCCTAGTGAAACAGGTGACTGTGTCCTAAAAAAAGGCATACATGACCCATCCAAATTGTTTTATCCCTATGATATGTACTTACATTTCATTTCCATTTTCTCCATAAACATCATGGAAATAGTCCTGCCTGTCCATGATCTCTTGATATTTCTCAGCATATTCTGTAAAAGCAGAAAGACCGACATTCAAGCACAAAAGCAAGACAGTTTAAAATGTTTTTCATTTAAATAAGGACTTATTCAATGACAATGAATCAAGTGAAGGTTTAAAAAGGTATTTGCAGCTGAAATAAAGTGTGTTCTATTCTCCATTATTTCCTTACGAGCATATTTTGTACTAACATTTAAAAAGGGAACAGTAGCTGTGTAATTGGGTGACATTTAAGAACAATGTTTTAACCATTACTGATTCATTCCAGTTCAAATCAATTCAACTCAATTTAGTATATGTATATAACTAGATATAATCATAGGAAAATAAAAGAATGAAGAATTATTAAGCCTTGACATTTTTTTGTCTTCTAGCCTTTTTATTATGTCCCTTCCAAGACCTGTGATTGATCTTGCATGACCCCGTCACCTGAGATTGACTGAACAGAGCTGACAGCCCAGCCTAGACAGCAAAGCCATGTTGCCCTCTCATCTACCATGAACAGATTTACACAGCCTCACCTGGGTCTGCTGCTGTAAATGGAGTTCCATCTTCTGTGTAGAACGTAGGTTCATTCTGAGAGGGGGATAAACACAAATCCATAACCAATAGAAATACAGAGAAAAATGTACAATAAAAAAAAAAAAAAAAAAAAAAAAACAGGGCATGTGGTACAGTTGACACTCACCATAAAGTAGTTGGGGTCATTGTCTGGTGTGGCGTTGCTGGCTGCTGCAGCAGCACGGACTCTGCCCCAGTCACTAGATCTTAACTCCACTAGTTTCAGAAGCATCTGTCTGACATCCCTTAGGAGAAAAATGCTTATATCAGAAAGTTTCCAGAAAGTTTATGGCAGGCTTTTGAATGACGGTACATGTTCTTGATGCTGCGTGTGTATGTTAAAAAGCTTAAACTCTTTAGTCCATGTTGGTTGTTACACAAAAACAATCTCATTGGAAACTGGAAAAGGCAGGCACTTTCAAAAAAAACTTGGCAGATGATTGGTTGAACCATTTGTCTATCAGCGCCTATCACAGGCGAGCTTCAATCAAACAGATCAACAAATTATTATTAATATACACACCTGCTGCAGGTAGCATCCAGTAGAATAGTTTCTATTCTTTGGATCAGTTTTTCCATGTGTTGTTTCCCACTGTCTTTCCACGCATCATCCAAGACAGAGCCTGTCAGCTGTATATTTAAAATCAATCGCATTAACTCTCTAAACAATAGAACTGCTTTCAATACAAATCTGTAAACGTATTCAATTGAGATATAAAACCTTAAGCAGTTTGACAGCACAGATGAGATTTGCATCCACAGGATTATCAAACAGACTGTTCATCAGGTCATTCAGAGCAGACAGGAGGATATCTGCTCGATTAGGAGGTCTTTTCCCACTCTTTACCTAAACAAACAAAACAGATATCAACAGATGTAAAAGTTGAAGGCATGTTGAGTAGTCTTCTTGTGTTGGTGGCTTATGAACTCAACTTGCAAAGTTGTTGAGTTCTCCTCATCTGAGATCTACGACGTATGTAAAAGGTGGTTGCCAAGTGCTTGCTCATGGTGGTACTGTTGGGTCTCTGTAAATAATTTTATAAAAAGGAGTACGGTCTAGACCTGCTCTATTTGAAAAGTGTCCTGAGATAAGCCCTATACAAATAAAACTGAATTAAATTGAATTGATTGGCTTGTGAACTACAGTACAGACCACAGTACAGCACCAGCAGCAGCAGACATCCTATACACCACGTTATGGAAATACATAACCATAAAACATTTTGTTTTTTATATGAAAAATTTGCAAGCACACTCAATTCCAGTGAAGTGTTTCCCTTAGTGCCACTAGGACATCATGGAAGCCCTCCCAACAAGATCCTAACCTGCAGCAAGAACCACCTGTGAGGCTAGATGCAAGGCAAGGTATGGTTTAAATAATTGTGTGATTCCAAAAAGGAAGTCAATATTGTGTTGTGCTAATTGATTTGCAACAACTTCAGGTTGTGCTAACTCCCTCCCTCGCAGCAAATTTAGAAAATGTATCAGAAACCTGCAAAAGACAGTAGCTGTAGAGGACGTGGCCTTGACACTGAGACAGACTGACCACAGCAGTGTGGCAGAAACAGCGAGCTAGTAGTCAGAGCTAGAAAGCAGCTGCAGGCAGAATCTCCACAGAGAGAGTCCACTGGAGCCAGTCACTTGAAGCATTTTGACGTTGTTTGTAAAAGTTTATGTGTGGTACCGGTGTTGTAGCAGAGTTAACGGGTCGGAGAGGCCAACTCTCCAGTATATGTGTGTGTCTGTGGGGGGACTGTCAGTGCGTGGAATCACGGTAATCAGAGCAGTCAGGTGGTGTTTCTACACCCGTCCAAACCACTGAGCCAGAATACAAAAATATTCAGTAGAAGGTTAGCAAAAACTAGCATCATCAATATACATTTGAAAATTAGTGCAACAGTTTCACACTCAAAGCACCCGCTGGGGGAGTTGGGCTGTCCTCCTCTGAGGGTTGCAACACTGTTTTTTGTTTTTTCTTGGGGGGGGTTATATTAAATGTTGTGATTTCATAAATTTGGTAATAAAGTCAATTAATTATTAATTATTAACACCCGCATTTATGTTTCATCACAGTATATATTTATATAATTCAGTTTACAGCTCAAAAAACACATGTACGGTGGAAAACCCCTTTAAATGCATGCATTTACACAACTTTAGGAATGATAATATAGTGCTGTCTTAAAGACAATCTTTTACCTCCAGGTTAAGATAGAGCTCTCCCAAAAAGAGCACAAACGAGTGGAGTTTCTTCTGAGCTTCTGCATCTCCTCGAACAGCTACATCCCTCTGTTCAAACTCTTTTCGACATCTACAGAACACAACAATCTTTCTGTTTAATGGCAATTTGACAGAACAATTACATTTTACATTGCTTTTCATATTGATCTTAGTATTGTAACAGTTAAAATATTTCTGCTTCGACTACAGCTTAAGAACATTTTCTAGCATCTTATGAAAAACTCACCCTTTTTAATTAATAATTTGAAAATGATATTGAATAAAACAGTTAAGGAGATTTTTGTCTTGAGAGCTTGTCTACTTGTGATATGGACTCAACAAAAACTTAATTAAATCACCTTTGCAGGAGCAGCTGACGAAAGTTTCCACTTGGTGGGCTGATAGTGAGATGATGGGACAAGTAGTTGCACAGCCTGGCACCCGTGTAAGCAAAGTTTGGAATGGCAGTAGACTGCAATGAAAAGAAAACTTAATACCCAGTGGATTACCTTATACCAGTGGTTCCCAACCTTTTTCCTAAGGGGAGCCCTTTTTCTGTCATTAAGTAAACTGATGGTGCCTGCCTCAGTGACACATTTTATGTATATTTCATATTATATTCAACAATAACAGTAGAGACCTGTACAATAAACACAAATAGAGAACCCAATAACTGCATAAGTTTGTGTAAAACAAGAGATTTGGATGAATTTTAAGCTAATTATTTCCTGTGAATATGGATCAGATATCAGTTTTCCTGATATTTTTATACAATTCTCTGTCTGCATTATGTATTTTTTATTTCTCACAATCATACATTTTGAAAAATTCTGTGTTTACTCCTGATATTACTTGGTTAGTTTGGTTGTTTTCTAATGCGGGATGAGGCTGTTTATCAGGGAGTGAAGTCTCTGAATATAGCTTCAGGTCTTCAAAGTTTAAATCTTATCTTAAATAATAATAATCTAAACTTAAAAACAACTATTTAATTTGGTTTTCTGCACATAAATTAATTAAATACTGAGATATAGGCCTACAGTGTATATATTTTAATTTATCCTACACTCCTTAAAATCAAGACCCCCCCGTGAAGCTTTGGTGATTCCTAGTGGAGGTCCCGAGCCCCAGGTTGGAAACCACTGCCTTATACAATTATGTGTATTGTCAACATTTATATTTCCTGTGTATGCAGTGTTTAGAGGTGTCTCGTTATCTAATATTTATACAAAAATCCAAATGAGGACTGAATGTGCCCATTCTCCAAACCTGTGTGTATATCAGTTCGACCAGCTCAAGCAACAGCTCTTCAGTAGTAACCCAGGAATTGATAACGCTAGTTATGTATTCAATATCCGACTCAAAGGACCCCGGCGAAGAGCTCAGGTGGCCAAGGAATTCTGTGACCATATCCGCCAAGGTCGGTTCACCGTAATAGCTTTCGTCATCATAATAAGCAGGGTCCTATACAAAAATCACAATAAAAACATGAACAAAGGAGAACTTTTTAATGCTGATGCAAAACAACAGTGACATATAAAATTAGTGAATTTTTAGTTAGTAAAATTCCTCTTACTTCATAAGGGTTCATTCCAGAGGGGACAAACTCTGGGGCACTGGCTGAAAGCTTTGAAGACTTGACCACAGAATCAACTTCATTACACCTTCTAGAGGCAGACGTACTGTTGGCATTTGCACTTTGTTGGGGTTTGCTTTGTCTTTTAAAATCTGAAGGAAGAGGAAGAAGAAACATGTTCTTAGTCTTTGTCATATGCGACATAACTCATTCATATTCATTCACTTATTTCCTAGAACAGCAAACTTTAATCAAACAGAAGTAAATTTTACTTTAGGACCATTTTTCAGCCATAGATTTGGTTTACCTGCAAAATCTAAGACATTGTCTGCACTTGGTACATCCACAGTAAACAATATTCAATACTACAACAGCATTGTCCTGCAGTTGCATAATACTTTTAACTACAACGCTTCAGTGAGTACTAAAAATTTCATGTAGGACTAATTTTGGCAAGCGTGTGTGTGTGTGTGTGTGTGTGTGTGTGCTTTCCCCCGTGCTGCAACTCAGGCATGTGTGTTACAGACTGTGATGGCTGATGGGATAAAGGAACTCCTGCAACTGGGGGGCCCCAAAGACGTCAACCAGTATAGCTTTTCCACACCAGAACCACACATCCGACTCCAACTTACTGTTTAATGTCATACATCTAAAAGGACACTCCACATCAGCCCAGTGGAGCAATAAATGTGGTTGGTCTGTTATCCTAGAAATTTGCATTGGATGATGCGGGACTGTAATGATTGAGTGCTATGAAAAAATTTGTTTTTCAGAAGCAACTACCATTTCCATACATCTTCTGCACGTACTGGTTGATGCTGGTGTGATTAGTGAGACTTGTAATATAGCTACATGCTTATCAGATCTGCCTATGAAATGATTTGAACATGCTTTTATTAAAAATATATTTAACATTACGGCTGATACCGAAAAAAATAGTTTTTTAGTTTCATTGATGCATCTACACCATAAACTAGCTCACAGGTAACGTTACTTTACTATGTTACTTCCTAACACCAGCTACTTAACCAGATTTGTAAAGAGAACCAGTTCCTCCTCTTTGCTCTGCGTTGCTAACTTAACATAACAATAGGTTAGCTGGCGTTATAGTGAACGATAGCTCTATAAACTAAAGTTTTCACTGGGTAAGGCAGCCTAAACGGTGGCACGTCACTAGTCAACTTCGTGACATCTGAGCGGGAGCTTTATTTAGAGACCCTGTTCGCTCACATTAAATAACAATCCAACAGGTGCATGTCGCAACGCCAAAACACTAACGTTAGCTAACATTATGGCATTTAGCAGCTAGCTGGCTCAATACAGCGAGTAGCCTTACCCCCTTACGTTTCTCAGAGGAACTAACTTATATGTTGTGGTTAAATTACTGATAAACTCCAGCAAACGTGGTTTTGGCCTTCAGTGGCCATTTTCAGAAAGTGATATTTAGCTACCACTTAGATGAAATCGAATCTGAAAGTAGCTATAAGCTAACTTAGCTCAGCTATCGTTGATATTAGCTGGCTGACAGCTGCCTACCTCCACTAGCCACATCGCTGGCTGTGCTAATGTTGTTCTCGGCGAAAGGCGGGGATGTTCGCGGCTGCCTCAGCGGTTCCCTTTGGTTGAAAAGCGTGGCTTTGGTGTCACCGTCCCCGGTCACCACGAGTCCGGGGTCTGCTGGAAGATTTCGGGCTCTCCCTGCACCGGGAGCTCGGTCGAAATTCTCGTTCATGACTGCTGGTTTGTCAGCCTCGCCTCTCAAAGCAGCATCAGAAAAAGATGCAGAAATGCTGTTCACCGCGCTGACTGCTTTTTCTTTTGCGTTGCAGCGGTTGTTTGTGTTTTATCGCAGCAAAACACGCCCTATCTGTCTTTCATGGTGGCTATTTCTCTATCGGATAGTAATCACAGTATACACAACTACTTCGTCTTCTTCTGGTTTTAATGGCGGTTGACAAACGAGCTCATGGGTGCATTAGCGCCACCTACTGGACAGAAACATAACTATATTATCTCTATTATTGTTAAATAATTAATTACAAGAGTGTACTTTCCATGATTTCTTTCCAAGTAAATACTCCAACGTAGTATTATGTCCCTCATCTAGTGCTGATATTAATTCCCTCCTTTCTTGATCATGTTTGCCGCTGTTTATTAATACTTATAACATGGTCTGGCTGAATACTCAATTCTAATTGGCTGTTGAGTGTCCATTAATATCTGATTTAGGACACCTACTAGGTAGTTCCAGTGAAACTGTCCGTTTACTGCTCTGGATTATGTGCTGAAATGAATATCTGAATACCTCATAAATATATCACAACACTGAGTGTAGTCCTTCAGTGTCTCATCCTCTGAACACCACACGATGGCGACTGTAACACACAAGCTGCCCCTCTGAACTCACTGATACTTTGTATAAGCGACCCCCACACATCCCGTTCGCTATTCAACCCGATGGTAAATATATGTTGTAGACTCAATTCTTCCACTCTGGGGCACCATGTGAATATGGTGAATGAGAGTGAGTTAGGACCATTTTATGGGCCTGTGACTGACAGGGGCCCTAAATTATTAAAACATTGGTTCTTCCCCCCCCAATATATTAGATGATTAACCTATAATCATTAATAGAATATCTTAATCACAAAAAAAAAACCACAAAAAAAAAACTGAACATTAAACAATGCAGACAAACGTTTAGCAAGCTATTCATACTAGGGTTGAGTTATCTCTGCCTGTTGCCCGGCCAACAGGTTCAGCCTTTCCTCCCCATCCCCACACCCATAACAATGCACCAGTCTCCCAAACCCAACTGAAGAACGAGGTGAGTAGCATTATGTTAAATAACATGTCAGTTGGCATAACTGACTCCTCCAAGTCCGACCCTTCCTGGAACCAACTTTTCTTGTACAAAGCTTGTCTATGTTGAAAAGACAACCAAAAGCAGGTTATTAAAGTAATGTTACCAGTGAGCTAGTTCATGGTGTAGATGCAACATTAAAACTTGTCAGCTGAAATATAAAAAAAAATAAAAGCATGGTCAAATCATTACACAGGCAGGCCTGAAAAGCATGTAGCTACAGTGCCTTGCCAAAGTATTCACCCCCTTGGCATTTTTCGTGTTTTGTTGCCTCACAACCTGGAATTAACATGGATTGTTTGAGGATTTGCATAATTTACAGAACATGCTCACAACTTTGAAGATTTTTATTTTGTGACACAAACAACAAATAGGACAAAATAACAGAAAAAGTCAATGTGCATAATAATTCACCCCCCTAAAGTCAATACTTTGTAGAGCCACCTTTTGCGGCGATCACAGCTCCAAGTCGCTTTGGATAAGTCTGAGCTTGCCACATCTTACCACTGGGATTTTTGCCCATTCCTCCTTGCAAAACTGCTCCAGCTCCTTCAAGTGGGACAGTTTGCGCTTGTGAACAGCAATCTTTAAGTCTGACCACAGATTTTTTATTAGTTTGAGGTCTGGGGTTTGACTAGGCCATTCCAACACATTTACATGTTTCCCTTAAACCACTCAAGAGTTGCTTTAGCAGTGTGTTTGGGGTCATTGTCCTGCTGGAAGGTGAACCTCCGTCCTAGCCTCAAATTACGCACAGAGCGGTACAGGTTTTGCTCAAGAATATCCCTGTATTTAGCACCATCCATCTTTCTGACCAGTTTCCCAGTCCCGGCTGCTGAAAAACATCCCCACAGCACGATGCTGCCACCACCATGTTTCACTGTGGGGATGGTGTTCTTTGGGTGTGTTTGTGATGTGTTGGGTTGGCACCAGACACAGCGTTTTCTTTGATGGCCGAAAAGTTCAATTTTAGTCTCATCAGACCAGAGCACCTTCCTCCATACATTTTGGGAGTCTCCCACATGCCTTTTGGCAAACTCAAAACTTGCCATTTTGTTTTTTGCTGAAAGTGATGTATTTCTTCTGGCCATAAAGCCCAACTCTACGGCTTATTGTCGTCCCATGTACAGATACTCCAGTCTCTGCTGTGGAACTCTGCAGCTCCTCCAGGGTTACCTTAGGTCTCTGTGCTGCCTCTCTGATTAATGCCCTCCCTGCCCGGTCCGTGAGTTTTGGTGGGTGGCTGTCTCTTGGCAGGTTTGCCATGTTCTTTCCATTTGGTTATGATAGAATGATGGTGCTCCTGGGGATCATCAAAGACTTGGATATTTTTTTAAAACCTAACCCTTACTTGTACTTCTCAACAACATTGTCCCTTACTTGTTTGGAGAGTTTCTTGGTCTTCATGGCAGTGTTTGGTTAGTGGTGCCTCCTGCTTAGGTGTTGCAGCCTCTGGGGCCTTTCAAAAAAGGTGTGTATATGTACTGACAGATCATGTGACACTTAGATTGCACACAGGTGGACATCATTTCACTAATTATGTGACTTCTGAAGGTAATTGGTTGCACCAGAGCTTTTTATGGGCTTCATAACAAAGGGGGTGAATACATATGCTCGTGCCAATTTTCAGTTTTTTATTTCTAAAAAATAGTCTTGTGTATATATTTTTCTCATTTCACTTTACCAACTAAGACTATTGTGTTCTGATCCATCACATAAAATTCTGATTAAAAAAAAATTGAACTAAAGGCTGTAATGTAACAAAATAGGTAAAAAGGGGGGGTGAATACTTTTGCAAGGCATTGATATTATTATTATATTAAGTCTCACAAAAGCACACCAGTATCAACCAGTAGTGTAGAAAATGTATGAAAGTGGTAGTTGCGTCTGAAAAACATGTTTTCATAGCACTCAGTCACTATAGTCCCACATCAAAATCTATTTCAAGAAACTGACTGATTAATGAATTATTAATTTTTTCCCCTTGACAAACTCACTTTTGAACAAAACAAAAAACAATTATTTTTTCCAACATGGATCACTATTCCTACTGCTTAAATAAATGAACAACACAATAACAATACAACAATAATGAAGTAATTTTTTACTGTCAGGGGCATTTTGACCTCCCTTACACTGTAATGCATTTGTGCAACTTTGGTATGAAAATCAAAAGCATATATTCATATTTGTAATAATATATGTTGACTTCTTCTTCTAGATTTATATACACAACTTTTTTGGCCACTTCCTGACATACAACAAACTGTTGTCACTGAGTATTCACTGATATCAAAATAAAAATTGTTCCCTCTAGTGGCATGGAGTGGAAGCTCAACCATAAAGAGTGCGACAGCCTCAAAATATAGCATTGTATCATAAATGGTGGTAAGGTTATTGAGATTATACAAAATGCAGAAAGGGTCAATGGTGGGTTATGTAGTTTTCCATCATGCTGAAGGTATTGTAGTCTGATTTTTTTTTTTTTCGAAGCGCAGATGAATGTCTTTAACTAATTTTAATTCCAGAGGAATTCTTCCTTGTGTGATTTATTGTAAAATAATAATAATAATAATAATAATAATAATAATAATAATAGTCATGATAATAATATAATAAAAATGCTGGAAAAGGTCTTGCTTCTTAAAAATTCAGACCATTTTCCCACCCTAATATTTTTCATACAGTTCCTAAAAGTACAGAAGTATTATTAGAAACATGTACTTTAAAAAGCATGAAAAAAATGGCCACTGTGAGTTTTTATCATTATACATTATATTATTATATTGTTGTATAGTGTTGTTTACATGTTTATGTAGCATTTAACTGTTGCAGGTATTTTTAATTGTAACTATTACTGTGACAGCTATTAAGTGTAATATTTCTCCCTGAAAATGTAATGAAATATAAAGTAGTATTAGTAGAATTAGTAGTAGAGTAGCAGAAGTAGAAATTCTGGGGTCATAAGTCAAATTCCCCCACAAAACCCCAGGTCTCTATGAAAAAGACGTACATTTAATCTGTTCACATTATATACAGGCTATTAATTCTATTATTCAATTATAGTCACACATTTTACCTGCTAAATGATCTGTCTAAATAAAAAAAAAATATCCCGCTAAAAATACAACAGTGCTTTAATTTTAATAAATATTTATATAGTTTTACTTGTTTTGTCTTTAGTCAAATTTAGAGACAAAAATGTGTTTTTAACTTGTAATTTCTCATTTATATTAACTCCTGCTTAGGTTGTGTAACATCACCAAATGTCCAGAAAACACTGGGAACATGCAGTGTTAGCTACTGCCCTGTTTGTGGGTTTAGACAGTGGTTGTCTGTATAACGTGAGCACACAATGATGGACCTATTAAAGGTTATGTGTGGTTGAGCAGGTTAAATAACCTCATATTGATATAAAATATTTGCCAAAGTACCAAGGGTTGGAAAATTACATTTAACTGATATATCAAACACATATTTAAACATCATAGAGAAGATTCTGGACCTGTGCAACCCCTCAGAAGTGCCTCTCTCCCGGAGCTCACTCAGTAGCTGCCCACTACAAACATGTGTTGCACCAGACCTCTCAGTGTAAGTATTCATTAGTTGTTTTAGCCTCCAGTCATTTTCCACTTGTTTCCCAAAGCTGGATCACATTATGCCACAGAGAATTCCAGTGCCAGAAATGTGGAGACCCACTTTGATAAAAGATTACTGGCCCTATTTTCTGTTATTGCTGTTTTTCCCCCAATGCCAGTATCTTGGAGAGAGTTCAAACATTCACAACTCTTCGGAATGCACAAGGTGACAAATGACTAGGATTGGTGTACACATACTCATCACCACAGATTTTAAATGCAAAAAAAGTCTGGTTTCATGTTGCATAAGCACACATTATCTAGGTTATTTCCTTGGTGATTTATTGACTGCATCATTAGGTTACATACAGAACATTTACAGACAAATCAAGGAAAATACGTAGCTACTGTATGTGGTGTAGTTTCATACCAGGCCTTCTATTACACAATAGGAGGATCTTTCTTGTAACTTTAGAAAATAAAAGTCAAAGCACTTCTAAAACACTTGAATTAACTCTGAAATTGCACCCAGTTGAACATCCTAATCTTACCTATTAGGAAACATCTAAGAGTGTATCCTCAGGGCATTGTTGTGAATCTGGCCTCAGAGGTGCAACAGCCACACCATATTGCACAATCACTTGAGAGAGCAGAGAGTAAATGTATCAGACGGTACTGTATGGGGCAGAAAGTAGAGGTCATGAAATAGTATTCCATATGTTGCCCTGACTGTCATGGTGGAATGCACAGCAGCATTCCTCAGTATTAATCATTCGTTGCGGTGATTCCTTAAACGGCTATTAAAGGACAATATACTATCGCTTAAAGCAAACGTTTCTTGTGCTCTGGATTCCTATAACACAGATCTCTTTTGTTATTTTCCCTCCTTCTAATCTCACAGTCACAGTCACACAACTTGGATGAATTTGTACATCTCTTGCAGTTCGTCTCTCACCTTCCTGCCTTCGACTTCTCTCCCAAATTTTCATGCCTTTGCTGAGATGGATGTGCAGAGAGGCGGGATAAGAGAACATGAGGCCCGGAAGCCTGTGGTGTTAATGTTCTCCCTGCAGTCTTTTGATCTGGCATCAAGGCAGCTGTCATTGATTAGTGTGTTTGTAGATGATTACTAAGGGAAGTGGGTGGTCAGACACAGGTCATATCTCTTCTTCTCCCTCGTTTGCATTTCTGCCTCCACACACACATTTGGATCCTCTTCTAACTCCCCCCCCAAAACCTACTGCCAGCACTGATGCAGACCAACATGACAAAACTATTTTAAAAGTTTTGCTAGTATTATCAGCAGGTGCTTTAGCAGTTATCTTTACTATTCAAGCACTGTTGCAATTGGGGAATGCTGCAGCTCCACATTAATGGGGTGATATTGGGAAATGATGTCAGCATCTACAGGCCGTACAAGTTACCTTCCTCCCATTTTGTTGTGGTCGGTCTGTATGTTTCCCGTTTGTTTGTGAACAAATCATTAGTGCAATGGTTGCCACATGGAATATCTGGCTAGGCATTAATAGTTGCCTTTTGTCCCTTCGTACCTCAGAGAGCCAGATAAGAATCGACTCACCATGACCTGAATGTTCACTAGGGTTTCTCACTACTTTTGAGAAAAGTTTTAGGTGTATTGAGGAAGTAAGACAACTGCATTGCAGAGGAGAAAATGGTATTTTATTTTCACATAATGGAGTTCCTATAAAAAGTAAAGAATGCAAAGGAATGCTTGCCTTGTACGTGTTCCCCTCCAGTTAAATATTTCACAAAATAAATAAATCATTACAATACAGTCAAAACACAGTGGTTAAGTATCAAACATTTGCTTTAAATGTGTTGTTTCCTCTATTATTTAATGCTGTCATGATAAACTGACCGATCATTTCCCTCATCTTATCCATTTCCCTCTTCCATCTCTCCCCTTTATGTTGTGGATTATCTGGAGTCTCACAGGAGAATTTGGATTATAAATAACATCTCGAAAAATGTCTTCATCTACCACAGCCGGGACAGTATCCACATTACACACATACTCCAGTTGCAAACTGTTTGGCACAGAAAAAAAGGATAAATATTGCATCCTGTGCCATAGAAAACACAGATATCATCTTCTCCCACCAAATAAAGTACATGATCTCAGTCAGGAGCAGAGATCATACTTTTGAGTAACAGTGTTAGTGCCTTGTTTCCAAATGAGAGATTTCTCGGTGAATGTCTTTATTTTACAGCTTTTTTCAGTATTGAAAACCTCTCTGTCCAGTGCTGCATATCCTCCTTCTCCAGTTGAGTTCTTCAGTTCACACCACAATTGGAAGGAAGTGGGTGGCCGTGTTCTTCCTGCGGGTTTTCTTCCCTCTCAGTGGCTTCCCGTGGACATTCAGACCCACAAACATCTGCCGCTTCTTGTTCTTCCACTCGGCTGATGCATAAGTGTTGTAGCCGTTCTCCTCAATCCGCTCCTTCAGGGTGCAGTCAACACCGAACTCTCTCTGGAAAAACAGTAGGTATCACGTTTCAGTGTCATAACCCCGACATTTGAGTTTAAGGCAAAATACAGATCATTTTCTTGTGCAAATCTATTGTGGTTGCACATGTTATCTTGTTTATTTACTACTCCTTAATCTACATTGCATGTTTTGCCTTGTGTACTTGTACAGAACCTAGTGTGTATTTTTAAAACTGCACAGTTCTCCTGGAGGTTCACGTACGTGCACTGGCCTGGTTGTGAATCAGAGTTGACCCAGCAGTTAGAGAAGTAAAGATAAGGACAGGACTTTGATGAGGACAGAAGAATCTAACACTATCTCCGTCTCTAGAGTATCCAGATTGACCCCTGACCCGGATACTAACCGCTCCGTACAGTTCTCCCTTCCTGCTGATAGCCAGATAGTAGTTGCTGTTCAGCCCTTTGATGGCCACTACTCCCACGGCCACCGATGTGATTTCCAGAATACCTAGGATTCAGCAAAAAATACGGTTATATCAATATGTGTCAACATTCACAGTGAGCATAAAATGATTTTTCAAGTGTGTGATTCTTAGTAGTCAGAGCTGAACTGACTGAGTTTTTTTTCAATGCACAAGACTAAAACTCAGACAGAGGAAGTAAAGGTGATAAATTGTTTCCCTGACTCATAGTTTCTGCAAGGGTATAGAACAATTAACACTTAGCATTCAGAGAGTCTAGATACAGACCAGGATAAATACATTTTTAAAGTGAGTAAGTAATGGATAGCAACATATTCGTGCTCATTTCAGGGCATTTACAAATGGGAACGCACAGTGTGGGAACTCTGTTTAAGGTCACAATTATTCTTTGTGCACATTTATCATTTCAGTGATTTTATTAAGTTACTTTACAACCTACACCTGTGTAACGGATTCCAGCTGTGTAGGCCATTTAGTTTAAAAATTAATGGGTGGATACCGCAGAGATTCTATGGATGTTTATGTTCTGTTTGGTATTTAGGTTTCCAAGTCGCTATACAAGTAATTCAGGTTTCTCATAGGCTATTAGAGGGGCTAATTTATACCCCAGTTAACAAGGGTGTGCTTTTGTTGCAGACAGCTGTGGTTATTTGTGTGGTCTCAGTATCAGAGGTCAGAGAGATATAACTTCCTAATGTGTCCTTTGACCACAGAACCCACTTGTCTCGTCTTATGCTGGTGTGTGTGTGTGTGTGTGTGTGTGTGTGTGTGTGTGTGTGTGTGTGTGTGTGTGTGTGGGTGTGTGTGTGTGTGTGTGTGCGCGCGTGTGTGTGTGAGTGAACCTCCCTCTTTCCCATGGCATGTTTGATTTCATGCCTCCCTCCCTGACTTCCTTTCCCCACTTCCTGTGAGCTGTCGTTATTTTATCCCGATAAGCACACATGTGTACGCACACACATTCAGACACACACTTCAGCATGGGGGTGTGAACTCCAGAGAGTCGACGATATGCTTTGATCAGATCAGCAGCCCCTCCTCTGTCTGATGACTGTTTGTGTGGCAGCTTGCTCCACTGTCAGACCCACTCTCCGGTGGCTGGGGGGCCTCTGAAGCTGCCAGCCTCGTACATGAGTGGACAGCGGAGGATGCAGGTGTGCCCCCAAAGAACAATCCCCCTCTTAAAATACAGCGGCTTCTCTCCTCGTCTGTGAGGTCCTGACTGTATCAGTTTCTAGTTCAAACAGTGGCACCTCAGGGCAGTGAGGTCTGAGGCAGCAAGGCGGTGGTGGGGACGGTGACACAACGGCCATTGAAGATCTGAGAGGAGCTGGTTTCTGTATGGGATCGGGTGTCGGGTATGGAGTGAGGATGTAAGACAATCTATGGCAGTCTCTGGCTGCTCTGTAAACATGGGAGGGATGAAAGGAAGGAGAACAGAGGAGGACAGAGGAGCCATGACAGTGAGACTGGGGGTGGAGTGAGGATTAGTAAGGCTGTAATGATCACTGATCAAAGTCAGCCACCGGAGGCAGGGGCGAGACAGGTTGTATATACACATACACGCGCACTAATGCGCTCACATTTACACATGCACACGCCCATAGTTAATATTGCAGCAGGTGAATGTGCACTTGCACTCAACTTGCACACTCAACCTGGCTGTGAAACTACGAAATCTCCATTCACTGTTTTCCGTTGAATGAGTTTGGCCCACGATTGGAGAGTAATGAACTTATTGCTGCAAGTATGGGAAAATGCCATAAGACAAAACATGCTCTTCATTTAGCTTGCTCCAGATTACAACAGTAAGCCTTAAATGTGACAACAGTGCTTTGTGTGGGGTACATTTTACGAACCACACACATGTAAAACGTAGCCTAAAGTCAGCCAGCCAGGTTCAGCTGTTTACGTGGGGGAGACAGCAGTTTTTCTTTTGCATGCTGGTTGGTTTTTCCTAATGTGTGGCTTATTTGATACGCTCTGTTTGGAGTTACAACAGTAAATGGTGCGTTGGTTGTGGAATGGAGGCACACAATGCCAGTGAGAATTAAAGGTGGTTTTTCCACGGTGGGATGCCAAAAACCATACGCTTTGTTTTTTTTTCTCATTCATACTTTGCTTGTTTAAAAAAAAAAGAAAAATGTTCAGGGACTGCACAAAATAACATTTGAGCTGATAAGTTGGAATGTAAATTTTGATTGGTGCCATTTCCATGCAGAAAAATGGTGTGGAGTGAGGCGTAAATCAGCATATAAAGCAATAACACTTGATAAGGACCACACTGAGTGTATTTACATAAAAGGGATATCCATCCTCTTCCCCACCTCAGAGAGAAGCTATACATCTTTCTCCTCAAACCTCCATAAGAGCACCATCTGTTTTTTTCCCACGCAAAAGGCCACTGCTTTGATTAGAGGAGATGAATGTGCACAAAGACACACACTTACGCACATATGCTATATACACACACTTTTTGAGCCATGTCCAGAAGCATCTTGCACACATGGTCTGGCCCCTACAGCACAGAAACACAAATGGTGGCCCGACACGAAATACACACACACACACACACACACACACACACACACACACACACACACACACACACACACACACACGATGTTGACAGGCTCATCCTCTAACACCATCCGAGCCATGGATAATTAACTAAAATTCTTTTACCTCCGAGCCAGGCTTGTGTCTTATTTAACAATATTTCACTAGTCACTCAGACCTGCTAGTTGTCTATAAATTTAAGAGAACTCAGGGAATCATAGATATCTTAATTATGTACTCAGGCCATGCAGATAGCTACTTAGCTGACTTTACCATAATCTCCCTCCCTTTCTCTCTGTAACCTCAGCACAGGCTCCCAGCGGGTTGGAAAGCCATGTGGGACAGTTTTGCGCTGGCATCCCCATAAATCTGTGGGAGGCTGGATACTGGCTCTTTAACAGACAGTGAGCCGGGTCCTCGCAGGGCCACAGGCAGCACCCAAAACCAAAGCTTCCACACCACATACACCTCTTAAATAAAGCCTGATAAATGTAGGAATTCATCTAGCGTAAAAATCTGAAAGCAGTGTTTCTTTGCCTCACAACTCCTGGCGCAGGAAAAAGCAAGCCTTCCTACACTCATCGCAAAAAAAAACTTGATATTTTGTCACTTCAAGGGACCATCGAGGGTCTACAAAGGACGTCAGCCCTGGGATCATGTCTAGCCCCAGGGGCCAGAGCAAAGACTGAAGCTGCTGTTGTGTAGTATCCTTTACCGTGAGAACCTGATATGAGGGCACATAATCCACACACAGTGTCCCCAGACCCCCTCAGGACACAGCTTTTTGATGGCACCACCATTGATACCGAAGACGCACGGCTTTGATGTGGCCACAATGATGTTCAGCCATGTCATTCATGAACTTGTACCTCTAGAGAGTCCCCCGTGCTCCCTCTCACCTCCCTCCCCAATGTGCAATCTGCACTAACTCAAACTGACTTTTGAAAAAGGCAACACGCTCCTAAAAATGAGAAGTTGTGAGTCAATAAAAAAAAGAAAGACAGAGGGGTAAATCATCTTCCAAACATACATAAAGTTCAGGGTGAATTCACACACCACTATTATGATAAACCGCTTCAGACTTCCTTCAGGTTTACAACTTAAAAGAAACCACTAACAAAGGTGGCAGTAAAGGCATCACGATGTAATACGGTCAGTAAATAAAGTTGCCTCTGTCATGACCTTGTCAAAACAAACATCTCCCCTGACATTCTGTCTCCCCGTGCCATTTCCCCTAAGTCACTTTGATTGAATGTGTGGTTTAGCTCTCCCAAGAGGAACATTAAAAGGTTCCATATACACCCGCTATGGGGTTGGGGGACAGAGAAAGAGGGAGAAAAGGAGCATGTGAGAAGGAGAGGGATGTATGTACGTGTGTGTGTGTGTGTGTGTGTGTCCGTAATAAGCGAGCACATGTGTCGTCGTTGGCTGCTGTATGATCACACACCCACTGGAGCATGTGAGTGCCCGCTGGCACACACACGTAGCTTGGTGGGAACGCTGGGAGACTAATGAGAATGCTAATTTACTGACTGATACATGGTTGAAACATACAACATGTAATCACTTTTAAAGACGTGTTTCTCCTAGTGAGCACGTCAAACTTCTTTAAACAAATCTGTTCTGTGACTGAGGGTTTGTAATTTGCTTGATGCTGGCTGGCAAGCGAGTGGGAGAGTGAGACAGACCCCCACAGAGAGGCAGAAAGAGCCTAAAAGCATCAACGACACTGACATCCATATCCTCCTGCCCCCCTCCCCAAATCCCTGTTCTTCTGTGGTTGCTATCAGTGCTGTTTACCCTGGGCTGTGAAGACTGCTTGATAATGGCTGGGTTATCTGCCCCTGCTCCTTTTTAAGCCATCTGAGAACTACCATCATTGTGCTGAGTGTTTGGACAGCAGAGATATCAGTGGGATGTCTGGTTTAAAACAGAAGGACGACTAATCAGGGATTGCTTCATCCAAACTACCAACCAGTGGACGGTCTCTGGAAATTTAAATTTAAATGTTTATGAAAAGTTGTATGTATAAAATGTATATATTTGTGTTGGTGTTATGTATCTATTTTGGGGGGTATGATTTTTTTCTCTCAAAGAATGAACACCTGGTTTCTCAAATTAGAACAAACATTTAAAAGGGTTTCTTGGTACCAAAATGTCCCTGACTTAAGCAACCAACAGGTGCTTTTTCTTATTATTAACGGCTCTAAATCCAAACAAGGTCAGAGGTTTCAGTTGCAGAGGTTGACAGCGTTGGTTTTACACTGGCAGTTACAAAGGTTAAAACTGACACATTTTAGCTCACATGTTTAAAGGTTCAGGTCACTTTTAACTTTCGCAGCCCCCTGAGAAATTAGGATCATCTCTGGGGTGTGATTCTCTCTTTTTGTCTACCTTTGTGCATGAATGTTCTGCAGTGAGTTACTTACTGAGGGGGTCATCCTTGCTCTTGGTTCCATTGACCTTTCCATTCTTATCGATCCTCAGGAAAAACTTCTGGAAAGAGAACAGCTTCCTCCTACGTATGTCCCCTTGGAGATGGTTGTAGCTGCGCACATGCCTACCCTGTGGTCCCCCAGTCCGGCCCAGGGGGCCCCCAGTGGCCCTGGGCCTAGACACAAGCTCAGTCTCAGAAATGTTCAGTGGGAGCCTGAGAGTTCGTGGGTTTGGGAGCCTCAGTCTGTCTCTGTGGAGCTGATGGCAGGCCGCCCCAGGTAGGGAGAAGGAGAAAACCACCAGGGTAATCAGGAGAGGCAAAGACAGGGAGGAAAGCAGTGTTGATGATCTTAGTCTGGAGCTGGTCGTAGAACCAGAATGATCCCCTAACCCAGCCCTGGAGCAGGACGAGGCAAAGGCAGCCTTACTCCCTCCAGCAGCCCATCTGATCATGGTAGTGTGCTGTGTGGAGGACTAGAGGCAGCCTCAGAGCCTGGGACATGCTGCTGGGGTCGAGGAAAGGCTTGGAGGGCAGGGAGGGGAGCCCTCCACAGTCCAGACTGGGGGAGATGGTCCCCCTGCAGAGTCCAAATTATTTGGCAGCTGTATGTAATTCTTAGATTTCCTTCTAAATTATTTTTGACTGTTCAACAATTCCATTGAGTTCTCTTCTCCACAGTTGAAATGTTTTAGGCTATTATAAGCGGATGATCACAAATCTCCAGTCCACGTCTGTATTGGAAAATAAATCAGTTTGAATGAGCAAAGATTACGTAAAAGAAAACCACCCACCGATTACTATGTGTCTGTATTACGCTAACAAATCTCTTTTCCACTTTCCTTCCGTTTTCTACTTCTTTCTAAATTGTTTGTGGAAGTTATTCTTCTATTATTCTGCTCCAGTGGGGCCCTTGTATTTCCAGGCAGTTGCTCAATTTAAGAAAAAAAAGCAAAGAAAAAAATATAAAGTTCACTTATATCCAGGTAGAAAGTTTTCCATGTGTAAAATTCCTTAGTTCCAGTGAAATCAAAAAAGGTGCACCACACAGTATACCTGTCCGATAGCTGCTACACTCCAAATGTGCAGGAAAGCATTTTCAGATTTTACTCTGAGGAGAAAAAACAGGGTTCAAAACCTTAAAGAGGAACATTGGTCAGTCCAGGCGCATGTCAGATAATCCATCTGTCTTCTGCTGCCCTGCTCCTCTCGCTCTCTCCTCATCTCTTTCCCTCTCCCTCTCTCTCTCTCTCTCTCTCTACCCCCAAATGACTCCACCTTCATACAGCATCGAGGTAACGGTCTGGGGAGGTCTTTCTCTCTGTCTGAGGGCTGAGTCAGAGTTGCTCGCCTCCTGTCTGTTAGCTCCTTGATATGAGGCTTCCTGGTGTGATCTCCTCACCTGAAGGGTGATCACAGAAAATGACTGTGTGTTGTGTTGTGTTGTGTTGTGTGTAGCTGTGTGACTCTGTTAGTTATTTGATCCCTCCCTCCTTCACTCAACTTCCCCTCTCACATATGGGAGCAAGTACTGCTCTCCATGTGTGTGTGTGTTTATGTGTGTGTGTGTGTGTGTGTGTGTGTGTGTGTGTGTGTGTGAGTGTGAGTGTGAGTGTGTGTGTGTCTGCATGCCTACATACAAGTAAATCTAACTTAGGAGAGTGGGTGATAGCAGGCTTTATCTGATGAAGCAGGGCAGGAAGGAGCAGTCTGGTAGTATTGGATCAATCCCTGCGGCCACAGATCGTGCTGATGATTGCTTTATCGGTTCATCGAAGAGTGGTCTTGTTTTTACTGTGCGTGGTTGCAAAAAAGTTCTATTTTCCACTCAGCATATGATGTTAATTTGTGTTATCCAGTACATACACGTGCCTGTATGGTTAAGCGTGAAGGAAACAAGTGTTACAAATTGAAATGGACCCACTTATTAGTCATTAAGATGTGACGATCCTGACCAGTGGCAATCCTCCTCTATCTCTTCAGATAAAAATCATATTAAGTTACTATTGCCGGTTCCAGTCTGGATGCTGGCTTATCACGGCCATCTTGCTGAGGCCTCTCTCTTTCCCTCAAGGCACTCTATCGTAGTATGTTATCTCTCCTGCAGCGCTGTAATGCAATGAAGCTCTCCAGTTTCACTCACCAGACCTCCGCCTTCCTCTGTGACTCAGGTGTCTGAGTGGCCCTCAGCCAATGAAACTCTCTTTTATGAAACATGCATCATTTGCTCCTCAAGGCAAGGCCAGCACAGGATGGACAATGTCATAGCGGACTAGACAACAATGTACAGTATGCGCAGTGAATGTGCAAAATATTAGGGATGGTCACTGTTCTCACGAAGATGAGGCAAATAAAAGCTTCATCTCTTATTGGTGTTTACTGATTTTCAACACCAATTGCTCGAGAGGCAGAGCTAAGGGAAACATTTTTGTTTTGAGAGTTCAGACGTGGACTGAGCAAAGACGGCTGCAACTCAATACTAGTAAGAACTTTTTCTGGCTTAAGATGTTAAAATGATCTAGGGCCATATAGTGACATTTTTAACAATCCACTGTGATAAAGAAAACTTGTGCTGGCAGTCTTATCTATTCTCACTGATCCTCATGTCTTTAATGTCGGGGTCTGTCCTGTTCCCCTCTTTCCTTCCCTTAAGTCCGAGTTTTTAGTGCCTGCTTTAATGTCTGTCAACGATCTATGGCCAGAGCAGCAGTCTGGTCTTAACTCTGGTCTTGGCATGGCTTTATCTGGGGATACAAACAAAGCAATCTTATCAGCGCTTCCTTTGTGGTGTCCCTTCCCGCTGTGATAACCTGAATCAGTGCAAAGGAAACAGAGCTGGGAGGAGCAGGCCTCATTTATATTGATTATTGTTGCTGCAATAATAGTGGAGTAAGAGTTTTGAGTTTTTCTGGATTTATTTGCATCATTGAACAATGACCTCTGACTAACCAAAATGATATTCAACCACTATGACTTATTTAATTTAAATAAATCTATATTTCTTTAACTATATAAATACAACTTATAATGTCTTCTTTAACATGTTGTGGTAGAAAACAACATGAATTTTTCCTTTCAAATTTTACATTCTCATACTGTGAAAATAAATACTTAACACAGCAGTACCAAATGCACAAATGTCCATTTTAAGTCATTTAATCTACTGGAGTAATTGTATTTTATTTCTCTTCTTAAAAATCTCCCACTGAGGTTAAATAGTTTGACCAATTTCCACTGCACATTGAAGTAATTTAACAGCAATTTAAGTGCTAGATCAAGATAGTGTCCCCTGGGTAAAGAAATTGTATGAAACCTGTTTAAGAAATATAATATTTTACGAGGTTAAATACCTTGTTATGGTGAAAATTTTGCATTCTTTCAGTGTATTTTTTTTCTCAATTGTATCCTAAAGCTGTATACTTTCCATTAGCAGTATGAGACCTAGAATACTGTAACATTCCTCAACTGACAACAAAGGATTTCACATTGAAGGCATGTGTCAGATTCTCAGACCAGGATTCAAGACACCGAAGAGACTAAAACTGTGCAGATATACCTACAGCTCTTAGCGTTCTTTCCACTAAGACAGTAATGTCCTCTAGGTGCCTCAGAGGGATGTAGGCTTGCAATGATGCTGACAGACTCACAAGATTTGCAGGATTTCTTTACAAGCCAAGGATCAAATTCTTTGTAAACAATATAAGTGAGATTTGATGGTCTCATCTCCCTCCCTGCTCTACAGCTTTAGCATTTAGTGTATCTTTATAGATCTATCTCCCTGAATTGCATTTCAAAGTTCAAAACAATAGGCAATAGAACAGACAAATGTGCTTCTGATCCCTCCCTACAGGCTATGGCTCTAGTTGGGTTCTTACACTATTTTCAAACACAAAAACATAATTACAATAAAGGCAATGAAAAGGCAAATACCGGAAATTTAGATGCGTCAGCGAAGATTTGATTTCACACAATACCAATTGCCAAAAAGAAAAACGAATCAAGGCGATACACATGGAAAGATTCCATTTATTCCTTTTGTGGTGTAATGTAAGTGAGTTTCACAAAAGCAAACTCTTGTTTTTCCACATTTGTATTTGACAAAGTAGTAAAATTATCAGGTGTTTTTGTTGTGTCCAGATTAGTAGGCTGTTACAGTGCTGATCATTAACTCACATACATTTACATTGTTAGTTTGGAATAAGGTGAAACAAACTGTTAACAGTCGCCTGTTGGATAATTTGAACAGTGAGTGAATTTGATATTGAATGTGTACAAATTAGTTTTTAGGACTGTTTTAGAAGACTCAACCTTATTGGAAGCACTAATATGATCTCTGTCCCCTTTCCTGGCAATCTTCATCTGTCCTATCAAAGTTTTAGTCAAATTATAAATAGTAACTGGCAATAGTAACTTTGACAGCATACATTATTTGTTGATCTATCAATTTAGATTTCTGTTTACGAAGTCCGAGTTTTTTTGGCTGGCATTCTTACTCTTCCTGTAAAGTCATGATGGCATTGTTGCTCATGCAAAATAGGCTCTTAATTCTTTTTAAACTGCTGTCGCTGCCCGCCAGCATAGAATGCATCACTTCCTGTGTGTCATGATTTGGTTGCCTTGATAAAGACCTACTTGACCCCAAATGTTTAAAGTGGCAAACAATTACAAGTTGTAGACCGGGATAGGGTTGAATCAGTCAATATATTAACCAGAGCTGACACAATTTGAATGCAAATGACAAAATGATATCTGAAGCCCTTGTTTAAGTGTAACAGCTTAGTTTTGGTCTGTCTCTGAAGTTACATTTTTGCCTGTGCTCCTGAGTTTTGTGTAATCCTGGTCCTTGTGGCAGCAGGTGGATCCAGCACTGAGTACCTTGCAATCTGTTGCTCCTTCTGCTCAACATACTGTATCACATTAGTAAGTTGAACTGTGGAAATTCACCTTATTCATGTCATGTGTCTCTGATTTTGCTTGGCCTCATTGTGAGTGTATTGGCCCCTCCCTTTTGGTACACTATCATTAAGCAGATGTTTTACAAAGAAAAGCACCTCACTCTGAGTTAAGCTCAAATCCATATGTGGCCTATGAGGGAGTCAAACGCACAACTCACAAACAACCAAACTGACCTATGGGAACCATGTGTGTGTCTGTCTGGGTTCCCTGGGGCTTGCTCTGTGTGTGCTGGGTCAGAGGAGGCCGAGGCTTTAATAAAGGAACCGGCCTGGTACGGGGATGCCAGTCTGACCGCCTGTGGACATGGAACCTGATGGGGTCCAGATGAGAGCCACCAGACTGGACTTCTTCCTCCAAACCAACAGCCAGTTGGTGCACGGATTATGTTCCACAGCCTTCTTCCTCTCTCTTGGTTTACTCTGGGATTTGAGGGGTAAACCTCCAGATTAAAGTTACTTTCTCCTTTAATGGTACTTTAAAGCTTTCCATAGATCACATGAAGATGTGTTACCTCATGTTGCAAAGACATGACTTGCAAAAAGGCTTGGCTCATACTGGGGGCCTGTTTTTTTTTCTGTTAGTCATCAAATGTAAATATTTAATATGTTCTTGGCCGTGTTTGGGGGTGTCTGGTAACCTACAAGATGAGGTTGCTCTTTCCTGCTTTATGGTGATCAATAGATGTTTGTCATGTTATCTTCCACGTCCTGACCAGGCACTTACATCATCCTCCTCTGCTGAGTGTCAGTTTCAGCAGGGCAGAGGAATTTACTTACAGGTAAGACACTGGATCAGCTGATTCGCACCGAACTCTCCTATGTCTTACTCAGGGGAATATGAGGTGACAGTGCAGTAAATTTTACAACCAGATTTTTTTGCAGAATGAGAATAACGACGGGCAACATAACAATATACATTATCAGAGAATATACATTTGTCAACCATCCAGGATTTAGCCCCACTGTTTATACTGTGGCAGCTGTGCCTTTAGCATCTCTGGGTGTATTAGGCATTTCAGGCGAGATTAAGAATCAATTAGCAGGACTGCTTTATGGCAGAAGTGGATTTCTAATATTTCAATATCTTTTAGTCAGAAATAACTCAAAATACTCAAACAAAAGCAACTTTTATAGTACTTGTGCTGCAACAACAGAATTACATAACTGAAGGTTTAACAGTTAAACAAATGTCATATTTTGTATTTGCCACTTACCTGCCAGTCAGGCATGCTCTAAACATTATTGTATTATGTTATAAAGCCTTGGAGCCAACATCTGTTTGCTACTGTTGACCTTGTGCAGAGAAGGTCTGGAAAATCTACAAATACTGAAGTAAACATTCGGCTATTGAATCCAAAACCACAATTGTTTAGCTTTTAAACACTTAAATTGTGTTACACAAGCTGTTAAGAGTAATTTTATGGCCATTTTTGGCCTTTTTAGAGAA